AATCAGATTTCTTAAATAAATATATAGTTTTAGAAATGTATGACTCTAGCTCACTTAGTTTTACATTTTTCAGGGTACCCAATTTAAGTATATAAACCTGCGTGTTACATTTCAATTACACTTTCAAGTGTAATATAAACAAAAAATATACTTAATTATTAAATAAAACTGTTAATAGTAATAATCGTACGAAATGTTACACAATATACGGAATGAGGTTTAAATTACTACGACCACAGATTATAATATTNCATATGTGATACGTGAGAATGTAGAATTAAATTGGGCACTCGTTACATATTCTAAAAAATTTATTGAATACGATGCGCACGAATATTATAATCTGTGGTCGTAGTAATTTAAACCTCATTCCGTATATTGTGTAACATTTCGTACGATTATTGCTATTATATTATTAATATAATTAATATTATCATTATTGTAATATTTATGAATATGTAAGTTATTTATTCTTACTTCGCATTCCAATACATTAATTTTTTTAATTGTATCAAAAGTTTGACGATGCTTATTGTTTTGAAAATATGTTTATCTACGTACAAGGTGTTCGGCAATACATTGTAGAAAATTTAAGGGACGAAACTTTGTTACAATAGGAAAATCGAGAATAAAAAGATATATGATTCCGATCTTGTTTTGAAATTAAGAACAATTAAAGTGTCACCGTGCGAACCAGTTTCTGTTTTTGTTTTTTTGCATGGTACACCTCTAATTATTCTGACTTGACCTTCGATTAGCGAATTATATAGAGATTTTTAGTGGTTAATATCCAGGTAGAAAAGTTTTTGAAAGAAAGTGCGATTTATTTTCATTTTAACCTTTATTATCATCTAATGGCGGCATAGAAGATTGTTCCTTACATTTTCTCCGCTTGTTGCAGGACACTTCGTACAGTATACTGATTTAGTATATGTTGTTATTTTTGTATATATTAAAAATATGACATATCTTAAACATAGTATTTATATCCATTACTAATTGATATATTGTATTAATTGAAGTAGAAATTAAAAAATATATAATATTTGCTATTCTAAAATAAAAAAGAATAAGTTTATATATCACAATATAAATGTCATTTAATAAGATTAATTAATTAAGATTATGGCCTGTTGACATTGTGAGAAAATTATTTGTTTACTTTCCTAGAAAGGATTAGAAATTAATACTGTTAACATTTACAGTACTTTCGGGAAATGAGAGGATTCCTGAGGTCATTTTAAATAAGTTTTCCCTTAGCAAAAAAGAACGTCACGTTCTGGTAGGCCAGACCGAGCCCCCTCCCTTCGGCAGAGCCGATTTTGCTGGGCTTTCCGTCGAGCCCGGCAGACAGGCTCGCCGGCGACCGCTCGACGGGTGTGTAGTTGCAGTACAAAATGGCGTGCAATGGTGTAGCCAATGAAAGGATGCATAAATTCTAAACGCAAGATAACGAGTTCAGGAACGGTAAGGTGAATTTAGTTTTCCCAGTGATTATTTTCAAGAAGATTCGTTACCCTTTAATACCAAAAATGTTGAGCACAGAAGAAGACAGCGATTCATCGAGCGAGACGTCTGTATCATGTAAACGTCGCTGCGTAATACGATCATCATCATCATCATCCGAAAGTGACAATTCGTCTGATAGTTCGGTAACGAGTATTGAAACTAGTGATGAAAACGAGTGGTTCGATCCACGAAGAAACAGGCCAAGTATTGTACATTTTAGAAGTGCCCATGGTGCCAAAGTAAGTAACGAGGATGTGCAAAAGTGTATGAAAATCGAAGACTTTTATGGACTCTTTGTCACTGATGAAATGTTCGAACGCATCAGTGAACAAACAAATATTTATGCCGCGCAAGCAAGTACAACTTCCAAACATTTGCAGCAATGGGTACCAACAAACAAGGATGAAATGAAGCAGATGTTCGGACTGATTTTATGGATGGGATTGGTGAAACTCCCGTCCATGTATCTGTACTGGTCCCAGGATCCACTGTTTATTCAAACATTCCCCCAGAGAGTAATGAGTAGAGATCGGTTCGAGATTCTGATGAGCACGTTGCATTTCGCGAACAATACAGAAGATGGCGCCTTCGATCGTCTCTCAAAAGTTCAGTTCATCGTAGACGAGCTGAATAAAAATTTCAAAAAATATTACGATCCTGCCGAGATATTGTGCATCGACGAGTCTCTAATACCATTTCGCGGACAAATTAGATCTGGGCGGTATCTGAAAAAAGAGAGACGCAAGCGTTGCGTCAAAATATTTAAATTGTGCTGCGACAACGGATATACCTACAGTTTTCGAGTTCACGCGGGAAAAGCGCTCGAAAAAGAAGATATCGCGTCAACGAATGTTACGATGAATTTGTGTAAGGATGTGTTTTACAAAGGCCACACATTATGCACCGACAATTGGTACACCAGCGTGGATTTGGCGAACAAATTGGTAACGAAAAATATGCACCTAGTTGGTACACTTCGACTGAATTGCAAAGGAATTCCGAACGAAGTTCTAACGACCGAATTGAAACGTGGGGAAGTCGTGGCAAAAGAGAATAGTAAAGGAATTACGGTCTTGAAATGGAAAGACAAAAGAGACGTTTTGGTTCTTTCCACCAAACATTCGTGTGAAATGGAAAACGTGACAACCAAAAGAGGGGTTTGCTGTAGACCAAAAATTCTTATAGAATATAATAAGGGAAAAACTTCTGTTGACCTTTCCGATCGGATGAGCGCGTACAGCGGTCCGCCGTCGAAAACGATGAAATGGTATCGAAAATTGGCGCTCGAGCTTTTCTTGAACATCGCTGTCGCGAATGCGTTAATTATGTTCAAAGATGTGACCAGAAGGAAAATGTCAATCACGACATTTCGGAAACAGTTGGCAGACGCGCTCACGCGGCATTCGGAGAGAGAAACTCCGATAAGAGTCGATACGAGAAGAAACGTTCACCAATTGGAAAAGAAAGAAGGAAAGGCGCATAAAGTGCGTAAATATTGTCTCGAGTGTTACAGGACGAATACAGAAATCTATGGGCGCGATTTGGCTAGAAAATTAACCAGACGGGTCGTCACCTTTTGCAATATGTGCAATTCCGAACCACATCTTTGCCTAGAATGTTTTAATAAACTGCATTAAAAATTACATTTATTTTTCAACCTTGATGCTGCCGATCCCATGCACCGATGCCGTCCAAACGAGAAGTTCGCTGTCGTTCCATGAAGACTGACGCCGCCCAAACAAAAAGTCCATTGTCACTCCGAAGGGGTTGACGCCGCGCTTAACGCGTTAATATTTCTTACTCGGAGAAAACCAGAGGTCTCTGTTTATATTTAATATAGTAGTATTTAATGTAGTATAAGCGCTCATCTAATCGGAAAAGTTAACAGAAGTTTTTCTGCACAGTAGCAGAAATATTAGGGAGCGAGGTAAAGATGGAAGATTCGATCCGGCCTGCCTGAACCCTCGCGCCGTAATCCAGCGCGTCTTTCCGGCCTTCTATCGACAACTTTAACATTAATTATCTCAAAAACTATAAGTCGTCTGCCCCCGAAACCGGATATCATTGGATTCAGTTTTACAAGCTCTATCGCTAAGACGTTAAAGTACCTAGTTGAAGGTTTCCGGTGCAACGCTGTTCCGGTATACAGTAAATTCTCGCCAATTGTTATTCGGCTTGTGAACAAAAATGGCAATTTGGAAAGAGGAAATATGACTATCGTTTAGTATTTTAAGGTAGTATATTTCTCAGAATTGCGTGTTCCATAGATACTATAGAATATAAAAAACGGTATTCGTACCTTGTTCTCCAACAGTAAATTCTCAAAAGAGCTTCTACTATTCGCACATTTATCGATCTCCCGTTACCCACGAGTTGCATCGTCGAACGAAATAAGTGCTTGATCGACACACCATCCACGGTATTGCACAGAACGGTGAGTCGACACTTTGATAATCGCATGCCTTTCGAAACAGAATGTGGAACAGGTTTTCCTTTGTCTACGGTGTCCGCGAGGTCTCGGAATTACCCTCCGGTAAAATATTCTATTCCGTTTCCTGAGACTTAAGTAAAAGAGACTTCGTAACCCTCGGTACTTCTCGTAGACAATTAGAATATCTGCGCAACATTCGTCGTTGTAATTAAATCGATCGGAAGGTTCGAGCGGAAGCGTTTAATAAGCCGTCTTTTATAGCCGCCTCGGCTCCCGCGGGCTCGTCAGGAAGCCGGTCTAAATGTAATTGCGAGATGGGATGAATAAACTATATTTCCGAGGCGATGTCGCACGATTGCGACCGGCTCGCGGCCAGTCGTTGTCCGAGAGCGATCGCGGCAATGGGTGCGATCGAGGAAGAGTACAAAATCTATTGCTTTCTGCTCCGTCTGATGAGCCTCTGGCCTTTCGACAATTCTCTTACGGCGAAAGCCTGGAGGATATTTTTTACCATATCTCCGTTGACTTGCATTTACGTTCAGGTAATTTTCGAGCTCGGCTTTCCCTCGGGATCTATTATACGTGCATAGATACACGTATGCGTGTACACCATATACGGAAGCACCATAATACAATACGGCTGCCACGTTCGTTCGGTATCGTTTTCTTCGATTCTCGTTTTCGAAATTCCGTTCGCTCTTATGAAACGCTCCCGACCCCCTCCGTTTACCCCCAACGCTTAAACGAGCTAACTTCTTTTCAGATTTCACTAATTCCCGCCAACTTTACCTTCAGGAATATACTTTTCGCATTAACGTTTGGTTTACCTCTGTTATTGTTCTCTTGTCGATACGTCGGTATTGTCTATACGTTTCCAACAGTAAGTTACGAAGAACGGCCAAGTCTGATTCGATTACGCTTACCAGAAACGACGCTGCTGAAATACATACAGTATATGATACGATAATATCTCGACCGTTTTTCCAAGCCTGTTCGTTCGTGATCGTAACTATCATATGATTTGTTTGCTTTCTATGTGACTTCAGATCAGATTTATTTTCGAACATTTGCAATCAGACTTCAGCACGCTGAGAAACCCGACCGAACTGGAGATATTGTCGAAACACGCGCACAGTTCGAGGCGTGTAGTCTACGGATTTCTGTGTAAGAATTCCGATTTTCACCATTAAGCATCGTTTAAATATGTTTATAATGTTACACTACGTCCTCTTGCTCGGCAAGTTCGCACGACCGCAAACGCTGCTAAGGGAGAAAGAACTTTATCGCTTTTATTGCGATAATAAGCTGTAATCGAATTTTCGAGAACATCGACGATAATAATCATAGCGTTACTATTATCGTTTGCATGATAATAGCATTGATATTATCGTGAACGTTCTCGAAAATTAAACAATTAGAGAATTGGACGAAACATTGACTTTACCGATTTCAAAAAGGTACAAATCCGAAAGGAGCTTTTGTTCGAATAATGTGTTCTGTTGCGTTATTTCCGATGTAGTTTCTATACAAAGATATCGCAGTGACAGAAACCTCGCTTTTTCGTGGCTACACTGTTCGAGACTTTTCAACACCACGAATCTTCGAGGCGAAGTTTACATTCTTTTATACTATACATCTATATTTATAAATATCATAATTTTGATTGACTACCGATTGTAAAAATCTTAACGCATAGAATTCTTCCCAATTAAAATTAAGAATAACCTTACGTCTCGTTTTTACAGTCGTCGACAATCGATAACTATAAAAACGAGCCCCAACATGGCTCGAATAATCGTATCTCCTCTTCCCAAATTGTCCATTTTTGTGCGCGATCTGAGCACGAATTAGGGAGAGAAATTGCCAGTACCCTAACAATTAATAACTAACAATAAGTAATGCGACTATTAGAAAATTAGAATTCAGATAGAACATGTCGTCGTAGCTATGGATCAAGACGGATCCGAATCGCGCCATCCGGTAGCCAAAGACGATTTCGCATTGCAATGTCATAGACGTCGATTCTTGTGAATTCCAGGTATAGCTTGCGGATCGTTCGCGTATGTACATCTGATCATTGCCGGCCCCCTAATACTCGATGTGCTGGTACCGATGAACGAGCCCCGAGACAACGGATTGCAATCGTTCGGATTTTTCGTTTCGACCGACAACAAGAATATCTATTGGGTAGCATGTATCTTCTTATTGTCGGCTATGACAGGTGTCATAACGATAATTTGCTCCGAGTCGACGCTCTTCGTGATCAGCCAATACTGTTGCGGATTGTTCGAGATTGCCAAGTACGAGATTGCCTCTTGAATGAGATTGTACGGCGCCAATGGATTCCAATGGCATTGTCGCCAGCACACTCCGGTTCCCCCTTCTCCACTCCACAGCACATTCCGTACCACCGCTAGTAGTAAGCACCGTTGCGTGAATCCGTGACGTCACGGCCCATTTTTTGTTTTAAGCGTCCGCTGCAATACAAAACTTTATTAACAGAGTCCTGAATGTTACAGCTATCGATTTACAAACATGATCTACGAAACGGTTCACAAGCCCGACAATCCGAGGCAAAGGTACTTTATGCGTGCAAGCATGCGCGAAGCAGTGGAGATTCACACGAAAGCCATCAAGTTGGTACATTCGCTTAAAGGGCCTAGCCGTATAAAATAGTCAAATCTGCCCTTAGCAGTTTTGCGTGTACCTATCATGTATCTACCCTTTCGGAAAAGCTAGAGGATTGACATTTTGCACAGAAGAGACCTTCTTGGCCACCTATCGATCCGTTTAATATGCGTTGAAAAACTACTGAGGGCAGAGGGCAAACAATTTCGCTTCAATTGCTAAACCTACTTCTCCTCCCCGCTGCATTTTCTCAATTTAATGGAATCATGGACATAGTTTCGTGAGGATATTTGGTTACGATGCAAGACTACCATACCTGATAGCAATCGTCGTGGTGGTAGTTTCAATGTCTTTAAACCTTTATCGCGTAAGTATTCAGTATCATAGTCATTCGAGTCCTATTAGTATCAGTATCCTTCAAATATTAACTTCCAGCGAAGATGACTGACAGTACGCCTATTGTATGCTAATAGGCGCAGCGTCTACTTGCGAGAAAGGGTTGATAACGCTAGCCACCTAGCGGCTCGAGCGGGAAGCAGCGCAAACCAACTCTTTCCCGCTAGCACTAAACCTACCGCGGTCAAAATAGCCGCTCTCTTATATTGCAATTCTGCAAACTGTAGAGACTCTTTTATGGAAAATGCTTGAATAAATTGCATTATTGGAGCAAGTTTTATAATATAAACTGTAGAAAATCTAAATAAATTCAATCTTCCGAAGCAATGCACTCCAGGTACTATTACTGCTTGGTAGGTTTAGTGTTAGTACGCGAATAATACTTTCCTATCCCGTAGTACAGAGAACTATTCGATTGTGTTTCTACTTATGACAGGGATAACATAAACTATGTTAGATCGCAACTTTACCGATTTGTTTAACAAATAGTACCGCCTGTCGATAATAATGAAAACGTTTGTTAAGCCTTCGCGACAGATCAACGTTGCCCCGCCGATTTTCAAAAATAATAATATAAAACAATAATATTTCACACGTGTAACAGTCTATTCTAGCAATGACGGAAAAAGATGACATGAAGAATATGTGTAACGCACTTGTTATTGGTACCATTCACGTTGTGGCTGTGTTCATGGGTAACTATATCGGACAGGAAGTTATCGACAATAGCGTGGCTATCTTTCATGACATGTAAGTTTACTTTGAATACTTTACGTTGCGAAAGACAAATCGTATGCAAGGAGAGATAAAAATAAGATGATAGTTAAAGATTTGAGCTACTAAAAGACCCTGTATACTCGATAAGTGTCTTACAGAGTGCCCTCTATATGCGATTTTTGAAGCACTATTTTAACCACCACCTATGCTAGTGACAAGCTTGTACGAACTAAAATTCAATATGACGGTTTTAAAGCGGTAATTCAAATTCTAGATTCTAAAGCCAGAATATATTAAGTACATTTTTCGAAAATAAAATGATCGGTGATAAACTAACGATGCAATGTTCTTACATGATGCAGATATAATTCGCTGTGGTACTACTGTCCAGTAAAGATGCAGAAAATGGTATTATTGATAATGCAGAGATCCATTTCAGGCAGCATGTTGGATTTCTCCGGTTTATTCTGTCCAAGCAACAAAGGTTTCGCAACGGTACGTGCATCAGCTTTATTTCATTTCATTCAAGAGTTATATGTAGTTTATAGTATAATTACTATCATGTAGACTCGTAGCATTATACTATCGCCACGTGGCCCACAAGACGTATACGACTAGTATGCATAAATGCAACGCTCTAGGTTGCAAAATGTTTCAATTTCAGATGATGAGCTCGTCCTTCTCTTATTTCACTACAATCTGTTCGCTAAAAGGAAATGTCTAGTAAGGGAGACCGGCGTTAAAAGTTTCGATTTCGAGAAAACATAAGCAATGAATTATAGAAACAATGTACTTATCTTTTTTATTTAATAAATTCTTCATAGAAATCATTTCTTATTTTTTTCGTGAAAGTCTCTAGGCGTCTCAACAAGTTTTTTGGATATTTCTCGAAAATGATAAGTGAGCAATTAAAACTAATTGGTGAGCGATTATAGGCAATTAAAACGCAATTTTTTGAGCTATGTTTCATTAATATTGGTTAATATGGTGAGCCAGCTTCACACGGGTCATTACTGTTTTATAGAACCTCTGAATATGACGGCGTTGTGAAGCTACATTTCATGATTAGAGTCAATTTTATTGACTCTAAAAACATGTCCGAGTTTCACTTCTAGTCACGTTCTATGATAATAAGTGATTCCGACTCCAGACTCCATACTCCCCCCCCTCCATTCCCCACACTCCATATTCCATCAACCGCCACGTCTGTGTTATGTGCCGACTGTATAACGCACGCCGGTTTATCGGAAATATTGAAAGACAATATAATATAATATAATAAGTTGAAGAGAATTAATACGGTAAAAAGTATGTTTCGATATAATTTAATTACACTAATATGGAGTGTCGGATTGTTTCTCGGATTTCATATCCAATCTCTTACTGCTACTGATGTCATTGACTCGGATCTCGTTCTTAAAAATGTGGAGAAGCATATTGATTTGCAATCTCAGTTAACAAAAATTACAACTAGACTCGTTCTGGAAAATGGAAGCAAAGATCGACACATACGAAGTTTCCTATTTTCATTGGAATCTAAACAGAAAAGTAGTCTAAGCTATATAGCTGCATATAGAGAACCAGTACGAGTTGAGCTAAAATTGGCTGAAGTAAAGATAAACACGCATCCAGATAAAATTTTTTATAAAATTGAATTAAAAGATCCGCTCTCTCCTGGAAGAACTATGTCTGTTGATATAGAAATGGTATTAAGTCATGAACTTATACCTCATCCTAAAGAAATTACCCAAAAGGAAAAGCAATTGGTAAAATACATGGGGAATATTTATCTTTATTCACCGTATACTATAATGAAGCTAACAACAACAGTATCTTTACCATCACGCAATGTTGAAAGTTATACTAAATTTAAACCAGTTTCACAAAGTGATTCAATGATCACTTATGGTCCATATGAAAAACTTTCTCCATTTTCATACGAGGAATTAAATATACATTTTGAAAATAATAATAAATTCCTCACTGTTATCAAACTTGAAAGAAGCATCGAAATATCTCATTGGGGAAATATTGCAGTAGAAGAACATATTGATTTATTGCACACTGGAGCCTTATTGAAAGGTTCGTTCTCCCGTTACGATTATGCCAGAGAAACCAAATCAGGACAGGCCAGTATTCAAAGTTTTGATACCATTTTACCTGCAGCTGCTTCTGATATTTATTATAGAGATGAAATTGGAAATATTTCCACGTCACATACTCGTATTAAGAAAGATTCTGTGGAATTAAATCTTCGTCCACGTTTTCCACTCTTTGGTGGTTGGAAAACTCGATATATAGTTGGTTATAATGTACCTAGTTACGAGTATCTATTTCATTCTGGAGATCAATACACATTGGAGATGAGACTTTTGGATCATGTATTCGATGATATGGCAGTAGATGAATTAGTTGTAAAAATTATATTGCCAGAAGGTTCGAAGAATATTGAGCTAAACCTACCATACGCAGCAACACGTTTACCAGACTCTCTTTACTACACATATTTGGATACTACTGGTCGTCCAGTAATCTCTATTACAAAGAAAAACTTAGTTGAGAATCATATTCAGGATTTTAAACTAAAGTACACATTTCCGCGTGTATTGATGTTGCAAGAACCGTTACTAGTAGCAGCAGCGCTATACCTGCTCTTTTTATTAGTAATCACTTATGTAAGACTTGATTTTTCAATAGACAAGGACGAGCTTTCAGAAAGTAAATTAAGAATAGCTGGTCAGTGTGAAAAAATTTTAGCTGTTCAAGATCGACGTGTGACATCATACAATGAATTAGATTATCACCTAGCAAATCTCAAAACGAATAAGGATGCCAATGCATTTTTGTCCGTTGTTAAAGGCATCAATAAAGAATACAAAACTGCCACAAATGCTATTGCAGAAATTGCTCAACGATTGAAAGGAGAATCTGGCGATATATACGATCGTGTGCAGGAATTACAAAAACATGACAAAACATTGAAAGAACTTTACAATCAACAACAAGCACTTTATGTAGACAAATTAGTACCAGGAAAAATAGGACGTCAGCAATTTGTAGAAGCAGAAGCAGTTATTGCTAGGAAGAAAGAAGAATGCATTGAGAAAATTAATTCTATTGTGAAATCTTTACAGTAATAAAATCTTTGAGCACAACTGAAGACTTAAAGAAAATAATTTAAAATACTAATTGCAATCTTTTTATGATAAGTTAAAGTAAACATTTTTCTGTACAATAAGTTAAGATTTGTAATAAAGAAATATAAATCATATATTGTCTACTTTTACTTATTTAGAAATAGCAAAAAATTTTTAATATACTCATTAAAAAATGTTATAAATTTTCGATAACAATGATATATTTTATTATCTGATGTACTCAGTTAAACTGGCCTAAAACTACTAAAAAGATAATTCGAAAAAATTATAGCTCTCCCTCCCAGATAATTTCAAATGCGTATGTATTTAGTAAATCCATGTGTCAGTGTAGAACGCCGGTTAAATGAGACACCTGCTATGCTAACCTTTTAGACAGTGCTCAGAAAACTGTCACTTTGTTCGTACATCGAATGATTGGAGCTAGAATGAGTAATTTACGGAAATTTATAGGTAATTGTTCTCTTTCTTTAATGATAGTTGCACATATTTACTAGTCAATTTATTGAAATAAAAGCTGCATCATTCCCTTTTTGTTGTTAATTTAATATAGTTAGCAAGAGGTTATACACTTGTTATTTATACGTGCTATGATCTTTTCAATACAGATATCGGAGCAAATTTGACGGATCCTATGTTTCAAGGAATTTATCATGGTTCTCAAAAACATCAACCAGATTTAGATAAGGTTTTGGAAAGAAGTTGGAATAATGATCTCTCCAAAATTATAATCACTGCCGGTAATGTGGAAGAAAGTAAAAAAGCTCTTGAAATAGCACGAACAGATGGTAAGATATTGCTGTATAAATACATTTAATATAATAATTGGATTGCATATGAATTAGTTAAAGAAATGAAACATTGCCACTGTCGTGTCTCTCTATCACGGGCAGCTGTAGTTCAATATATAAGAATTTATTTTTATATTCATTATGATAAAATTAATGATTTGTACACCTTGCAGGGTTTCAACTGTGAGGCTAGGCTTAATGTTATAATGTTCATCTATTATTTACTTATCTCATATTAAATTGTGATGCAATTGTTACGTATGAAGAAACCACTGAAAGAGAGATGCGATGGTTGCTGTGATTTTATTTTATAACTGCAACCATAAAGTGCATGTCAATGGAAATATCTAGGTATATATTGCATTTTCTTTTCATGTTATAAAATTTTATTTTATTTTCATTGCTGCACATATTGTAGAACGATTATTTTCAACGGTTGGTTGTCATCCAACGCGTTGCAATGAGTTTGAAGAAAATGACAATCCGGAGGCTTATCTGAAGTTGTTATCAGATTTAGCTATAGACAACAAGGATAAAGTTATTGCTATTGGTGAAATGGGATTGGATTATGATAGGCTACAGTTTTGTTCAAAGGATGTACAGAAAAAGTATTTTGAAATGCAACTATCTTTATGTTCCACTTTGAAATTACCAATGTTTTTACACTGCCGAAATGCTAGTGAAGATTTTGTGAAAATTTTAAGGAAGCATAAAGATACATTAACAGCTGGTGTTGTACATTCTTTTGATGGCAATCCAGAGGAAGCAAATTCTATACTGCAAATGGGATTGTATATTGGCATTAATGGATGGTATGTCAAATTAGTTATACAATTGTAATGTTTTATGCAAACATAGCTGACTGTAACTGCATTTATAGCTCACTTAAAACAGAAGAAAATCTTTTTGCTGTAACGACAATTCCCTCAGATAGATTAATGATAGAAACCGACTGCCCATGGTGTGAAATAAGACCAACTCATGCTTCTGCAAAAGATGTTATTACTAATTTTACATCTGTGAAAAAAGAAAAGTGGCAACCAGATCGAATGGTTAAAGGAAGAAACGAACCATGCACCATAGTGTAAATATTAACCTATTAGTAAAAGATAAAGTAAAAATAATTGAATTTAATTTGACTTGATTCTTTTTTTGCAGCCAAATTTTGGAAGTGCTTGCACGGATTAGAGACGAAGAAGAAGAATACCTATGTAATCAAATATACAAAAACACAATGAAGGTCTTTTTTCCTCACGAATTATAATTGTAATCGAAACTTATGACCACTGTGCACAAAAGAAACGCAAAAAAAAACACATAACAAGAATTTTTACCAAATTCATTTCTTAGAAGAAAGGAAATGAAAATACTCATTTTTACATACATTGTTCTATGAATGTGACTGGAGTCACATAATCATCTCCATTAGTTGCATTATTAGCACTATTATATTTATAATTATGATAATAATTATTACTATTCCTATATTTATCGATATTATTCTATTATCCCTGTGAACATTGCTAATGTTACTCCTATTTTTGTATCCAATAACATTTAGTAACATCCAATATCTATTAAAAAATTAATCATATTGCCCCCTCCTCCATAAATTCTCTAAGAGTAGCAAAAAAATGACTTTATTTAATATATTTTCCAATTTACGTATAAACTTGTATTATCATTTGATCCACATAATAGGAACATAAAAGAAAAATAAATGCAGCAAACACTAGGTTCAAATTTAATCCTAAATCAAGTAGTCTATATATTACTTTAATATAATCATTTTGTTTGACATAGAATTAACTTAAGAAAAAGGACTAACACTTTGATCAAATTTTCAGCATTTAAAAATGTCTGAATTCATTGGAATTATATGGTACATTCTTCAAATATCACAGGTGAAATGGCCGTCGCAATATATGTGGAAATATACATTTCAATGGTAATTGGAATGATAAAATTAAATGCTGACACTTGGGGGCGTGGGGAGGGGCGATCACCGAAATAATCGGTTATAACATCCAGTGAATTTCATTCATGGAACTTTAGATAATGTTTGCACTTTTTCATATACCCAATCATAAGTTTGACTTGCTAATGTTTGTGTGGTATCGATAGCTTTTGAAGCATAACTTTGTAAATTCTCTGGGCTTAATGTTCCACTAAAAAAAAGTAACAAAGTCATGAAATATATCCATTCATATGTTTAAAAAAATGTTGCTACTTACACAAATACATTATGCTCTAACCACTTAAGTGTTGTACTTGAATGTTCAATGAATTTCTCTGCGCATATGTTAGAGTAATTTTTCACCAGTTCTAATCCCTGATTACTTCGTAAATGAATTTCATCTAACATTCCCGGAACATAATGTTCGATCTATGAAACATATAAAACATTATATAAACATTTATATTTATATATTATAACAATACAAACACTCTATACTAAGGTTTTAAAACTCACCGTTTGACGTACTACAGGGCCTTTAATTTTAGCATATGCTACCACATTGTCAAACAATCTGATAGAAACATTTTTTACCACAAGATAAACATCTCCAGCTAATTTAATATAAGGTTTACATGTTTCAACAGTTGCTTTGTAATATTCTGGTGAACTAGCTTCGATGAATTCAAGCGTTTTAGAAGAATAATCTTGCACTGTGATCCATGCAGTTTGTCCATATACATAGAATCCACTCCTGATTAACAGCTTGTCTGTATTAGATCCTAAACAATCATTACATTAATAATTTAATATTAAGTAATATAAAGATAATATTTCTTTTTCGTATTACCTTTGTAACTGCCATGTTGATAAACATCGTAACCTACAAAAGCACCAGTCAGAAGTAATAACAAAATAATTCCTTTTCTCCAAGGAAACTTCTTATTGGACGATGCTGTCATTTTTAAAAGTAAAACCTATAATATAATATAAGAAGAAATTAATAAAATATTGCGGCTTGTTTGCGATTGTTTGTGTAAAATATCAATAATCACATCTCATCGTGAAGTTTAAGGATTAAAGGTCAAACATTATATCGTCGATTCGTACACACGAATTACGATTATTCTAATTTGTGCATACGTGTGTCTTACCTCTAAAATTGACACAGTACAAAAATGTCTCCTAAATTATTTTATGTTCACGGTTTCAAAAGTGTATTTACTTATAAAAAAAAAAGGTTCGATGACGACGAAGAATGAGCGATGAATGTCGTCAGTGTCGTCACTGATGGTGTTGGGGGGACAATATGCGATCGATAGTATACTTCCGAAAAAACAAGCTTACCTAACCTAAGCTTTACTTTAGATTTGAATTTATCTAAATCGATCAAACTTTATTTGTCACGGAATGTTATTATGAGTAGACCAAATGTTTCAACCGGTGTTGTCAAAATGTACACTATATATTCGCTTTTAAATGATCCTTTTCACATGTGAACTCGGGCAATAAGCCAAAAAGTGTTTAACTCACACTCGCATGTCGCGAGGGTAGAGTACTATATGTATATACATACATAATACGTTTGCGCACAAGGTAACGCATAGAATTTGTAAGAAATGCGACGCGGGTCATTTTAAACGATTTTGGACACAAAATACTACATATCACAATACGTATTATTAACTACTAAACAGATATTTACATGTTATACATATTTTACATATTATACATGCAACAATATTAATTATATTACTGATCTGAACATATTTTAAATGAAATAAAAATGTAATGTTATTATGATAATGACAGTTACGTAAATCTATTCATCATATTTTAAATGAAAACCTACCTTGCAAATTTTACTGCAAGCATTAGCAAGACTTTCTTCTTTTCCTTTTCTCCATTTCTCATCAGTATTCTGGAATAGTATGCATGTCTCTTTCATGCATTTTATTTTTAAAGATGTACTTAAATTACTCCATTTGGCATCTAAAGAATAAGATAAAATTATATTTGTAGTCGAACGATTACTTAGCTTGTGATAATGAATCTTACCAATGTATGTCAATAAAAGTTGAGATTGGTATAAATTTTTTGTATAAAGCGATCTCCAAACAGAAAAACAAAGAGGATCAGTAATCAAACAAGTTGCAAGAGCTTGAATCAATTCTTCTCTATAATTTGCATGTATTTTTGGTGTAATTTTTCCCATTAACACCTCAAATAATTTTGTCCAACTTGTGTTATTATTCTTAAACATTATTAACTGAAAAAGACGTATATAGTGATATAATCTACTATTTTAATGTTATAATGTTAAAATATATAAATGTTTATAAATGCTTACTCTCAATTTTCCAATGCTACTATTTATTTGTTTGTCTATGGTGGCTGGAATGTTAAACTTCCCAGAACATGTATCTTCAACGATATCAAGATAGAGTTCTGGTTTAATATTAAGTACATTTTCATACTCAAAAAGAAGCTCATTCAGAATTTGTGCCACATAACTAGAATAACTCTTTGTCTCTAATAAGGGTGACATTACTTCATGCCATATTTTTAATCCTACATTCAAATCCTTTCTACCAGCTTGAGATAAAGCCCAAAATAAAGACAAACCGATTGTTTTCCTATTTTGGTAAGAATTTCTTACAGTAATTAATTTATTAATACTGGCAGCAATCATTCCAGGATTAGTATGTGCTAGAAGTTGTAGAAATATTTTGTGACCTACAACAGGCAATCCTTTTACCATGTCAGTAGCCATTGCAGTCAAAGTATTTTCATAGAAAAGTTGTGCTGTCTGTTTTCCTGCCAATTCAATGGCTTTATCTAAAATAGAGTAAATTGGTTTAGGTACTATGCTCAGCGGATAATCTTTAGGTTTCCCTGAGAAAACTGCATCTTCCTTGTCAACAGGTATTTTAAGATTAAGAAATGCAGCAAGATCTTTCAGCCATATTAATGGAGCTTCTGGAAATCTAGTTTGACCATTGGTTAAAACATTAGAGAGCTCGTCTACATTGATCTGTGAAAAAATGTGTTTAATATAAAAAGATTTATCTACAATTATAAAAAAAAGAATAAACTGAAACTATATAGAATTATACCATATTCAATGCATCTTTTATAGATTTTGGAGGCTTCTCTTTTGGTTCTTGCTTCTTCTTCTCAACATGTTTCTGTTGCTTTTTTTTCTCTTCATTTTCTTTTGTTTTATTCTCTTTTTCTTTTGACGGTTTCTTGTTCTCTTTATTATTATCCAAAGTGTCGTATAAAGTTTTCACTTGACTCAAAGGTACTAAAACATGTGAACATCTTTGCAAACATATTTTTAAACTATAATGTAGTTTAGTACATACTATTTTCGATGTATGTTAAAACAGAGAAGCCTATACGTATTAGGTTTTTGTTTATACCAAATGATTTTCGATAGTTTATTTTTTAAGTAATAATATTGAGTAGAAATAATAAAGTTTAGTTGAGGTTAAAAGTAGTAACTTACGAAAGTCTTCCACTTTTGGAGCATTCTCGATAAATTTCTTTTTTTCAGCCTTTGTAAGTTTATTATTTTTTCCATTGCTTTTATCTTTTTTGTTCCTTCCAACTAATTCCCAACCACCAGACGACATAGTGCAATAAATGCAGTAAACAAATAGTCACTTAACAATACTACTAAAAGGCACTGAAGTGTTTGTTGGCAGTTGTGTTGTCGACCGAATATTGTACGTGGTCGCGCATGCGTATTTAATAAATTGCCACGCGCCAAGTTTTGCTCATACGTTTTGGTGTACCAAGCGGTTTCCAATGCTTTCGTATTATACTTATTTTAATATGTAACAATATGATATGTCATGTAACTTGTTTGATTTCATGTAAGTAAATGTGAAATTTTATGCAATATTCTTTCTCTAATTATTGACAAAATGTCGGCAACTATAAAGGCGAACCGCGAGTTCCCAAGTTGTCCATTTTCGATTCCAAACTGAAGGATGCTGTAGGAGAATTTATTCTATATCTTCGTTTAAATTTCATCTTTGTAATGTACACGTACACGTAAGTATGTACGTAACAGACTATGTACATGCAACTCAAAGAAACAATAAGAAGCACGTACACATACATAGACAATGCATAGTCGTATACGGGCCGTAAGAACTTCAGAACTTGTCCCCACTTTTCTAACCACTGTCCAATACAAAGGAAGGTTGTGAAGGACTAGAAGTGGGAGGTGTCGCGTCACATTGTTCTTGGTGATTCCTATGTATGTGCATTGTATTCCTTTTCTCCTTCTTTTGCGGATAAAAAAGTGGGGATGAAGTCTGAAGTTCTTACAGCCCGCGAGCCCGCAAACTCTGTCGATATACATATAGTTAGTCACCGATGCTGACGTCTACCGATGCGATGTTTACTTCGTTGTTCGTTATATTCTTTAAGAGAAGAGAGTTTCGCTTCACAAGAGTTCATTAACTGTTCAGAGTTCGAATAAGCAACATGACTCTTCCAAGTGCTCAGTTTTTTCTTCCCTGTTTCGTAATTTTTGTTATATCACCAATAACCCAAGCCCTTGAAATCTCCGACTGCGGTAAGCCCAAATTTGAATAAAACAAATCATCAAAGTTGATTATTTTTCTTTCTGTCAATTATTTTATCTTCGAAGGAATAATTTATATTACGCAGAATATTTATTCAACTTCGCACTTTTACTTATATGTATTTGTTTTAATTAAATTACTCGTGAATATAAGGAAAGGACAAAAGAATGGAATTTTTGCTTTTATTCTTAGTTCAATCATATTACAATTAACATTTTTAACACGAAACTATATTTAACAGAATACAGAAAATTCACTTCAATCGTTCTTCAGCTTGTAAACAAAAATGGACAATTTGGGAACAGGAGATACGATTATCCGAGTCTCGCGGCTCGTTGTTATAGTTATTGTATATCGAATACTCGTATTTCCTCTGAAAAGATTGTCCATTTTTGTTTACAAGCTGAGGGCTAATTGGAGAGCATTTACTAATAATTATCGGTTGCGACCAGGTTGTACAATGCACAATTGAAATAATGGTATACGATTTCAATAATAATGGAGTTGAGTTCTATGTCCGGAAAACGAAGTTCAAAGTCATGACTGCTGCCAGTAATTTTTTCTTATGTCAATATAGGAACGCTTTTACGTAAACAACTCAAACATGAACTGTTTCTGCGATGTTTTTTTAACATCGCATTCGTATAATTTGTTAATTACAATATAATAATTAAATAAATAATGTGTGTTGATATTATAAAATTTTATCATATTTTAACAAAACACAATTTCACTTACTCGTAATAGTAACATATTTAACAAGTAACGTTTGAATATATAAAAGTTGAGTTACCATATTAGCGCTAATAGCGTTATACTTGAACTCTAAATTGGATATCGCGTAGCTTATAAATGTTTTGTTATTTTTCTACAGGTTCGAAGATTGGAAAGCTTACATCCGCAAATTTAAACGGATGTGATATGACCAAAGATGTTTGTGATTTAATACGAAATACGAATGCATCAATTGAAGTAGACTTCACAATTGGTTAGTATGTTCTTGGGATAATTAATATATCTTTTTAAGGCTATACAAAATACAAAAAACAATTAATTTTCTTTTTACAGAGGCGGATGTGTCTAAAATATATGCAGTTGTACATGGAATTATCATGGATGTTCCTATAGCTTTTCCATTACCAAATGCAGATGCTTGTGAGACTCCTACTTCAGGAATCACATGCCCTGTAACTAAGGATACAGCATGTCACTACAGAAACACATTACCAGTATTAAGTAGTTATCCTAAGGTAATTTAATATTATTATTCTTTATAAAATTTTCATTTTCTAATTAATAATTTTAATTACAATATTACAGCTCTCCTTGACCGTCAAATGGGAACTTAAAAATGAAAATGGCGAGGACATACTTTGCATGCTGATTCCTGTAAAAATTAAGTAGGTGACATTAATTGGATATACTTTAATTTCATGTTTGAGAAAATTGTGTATTTTACAAAAGTTGTATGAAATAAATACAAAACTTAGTAATAAAAAATGTTGTTCTCCATGTTTCTTAAGCTGCATTGTTTCAATGTACATGATATACAAAAATTTTGTACAATGTTTATTGTAGTGAATAAAATAAATAAGGAGCTTAACAATATTAATTGCATTTCTTTTCTAANTTATCCGAGTCTCGCGGCTCGTTGTTATAGTTATTGTATATCGAATACTCGTATTTCCTCTGAAAAGATTGTCCATTTTTGTTTACAAGCTGAGGGCTAATTGGAGAGCATTTACTAATAATTATCGGTTGCGACCAGGTTGTACAATGCACAATTGAAATAATGGTATACGATTTCAATAATAATGGAGTTGAGTTCTATGTCCGGAAAACGAAGTTCAAAGTCATGACTGCTGCCAGTAATTTTTTCTTATGTCAATATAGGAACGCTTTTACGTAAACAACTCAAACATGAACTGTTTCTGCGATGTTTTTTTAACATCGCATTCGTATAATTTGTTAATTACAATATAATAATTAAATAAATAATGTGTGTTGATATTATAAAATTTTATCATATTTTAACAAAACACAATTTCACTTACTCGTAATAGTAACATATTTAACAAGTAACGTTTGAATATATAAAAGTTGAGTTACCATATTAGCGCTAATAGCGTTATACTTGAACTCTAAATTGGATATCGCGTAGCTTATAAATGTTTTGTTATTTTTCTACAGGTTCGAAGATTGGAAAGCTTACATCCGCAAATTTAAACGGATGTGATATGACCAAAGATGTTTGTGATTTAATACGAAATACGAATGCATCAATTGAAGTAGACTTCACAATTGGTTAGTATGTTCTTGGGATAATTAATATATCTTTTTAAGGCTATACAAAATACAAAAAACAATTAATTTTCTTTTTACAGAGGCGGATGTGTCTAAAATATATGCAGTTGTACATGGAATTATCATGGATGTTCCTATAGCTTTTCCATTACCAAATGCAGATGCTTGTGAGACTCCTACTTCAGGAATCACATGCCCTGTAACTAAGGATACAGCATGTCACTACAGAAACACATTACCAGTATTAAGTAGTTATCCTAAGGTAATTTAATATTATTATTCTTTATAAAATTTTCATTTTCTAATTAATAATTTTAATTACAATATTACAGCTCTCCTTGACCGTCAAATGGGAACTTAAAAATGAAAATGGCGAGGACATACTTTGCATGCTGATTCCTGTAAAAATTAAGTAGGTGACATTAATTGGATATACTTTAATTTCATGTTTGAGAAAATTGTGTATTTTACAAAAGTTGTATGAAATAAATACAAAACTTAGTAATAAAAAATGTTGTTCTCCATGTTTCTTAAGCTGCATTGTTTCAATGTACATGATATACAAAAATTTTGTACAATGTTTATTGTAGTGAATAAAATAAATAAGGAGCTTAACAATATTAATTGCATTTCTTTTCTAAGCGAGTAAAACTTGTATGCAGCTTGTATGCTGAATAAATAAAAATTATAACTATTATTTACGACAATATGTGTCTTAAAAATTGTTTACTTTTGTTTATTAATCATATTAATCGTAAAACCTATAGTTAAAGCGCTCAGAGCTAGTAACATCTTGGTTGTCTAAATAAACAATTACTTTAACTAAATACAATTGTATTGTAATAAGCAATTTGATTTTACAATATACCTCCATGTTTAGGTACTTTTCAAACCAGATGACATACAGCATGCCTTGCCTCGTCGAGTCTATTGATTTTCATCTAGTTTAAGATAAGTCTTTTAGTAATTTTAACATTTTTACAATTAATATCAACTATCCATTTCGTCGCATCTATCTTCTGCTCGTTCAGTATCCATTTGATGTATAGTTCGTTTACTTCGTTGTTTCACTGAACTTTGCTGCCCATTTCTTAACGTTTTTTGTGCTTGATATATAGGTTCGTATTCTTTTAATTGTGTCATGAAACCTTCATTAGGATTTATACAAAACCTCCTTTGTTGTACCATTGCATATGCCCGTCTAAAAAAATATTCTGTTTCAGTGCCTTTCCAATGAGAATGAAGTATTCAAATTTTGTACAATATGACATTACGTCTGCGATAGTCCATATGTTTCCATAACATATGCTAAAACCAATGCAGCAGACCTTGATATCCCAGCATTACCGTGTACTAAGACTTGACCCCCAGAGCTTAAACCTTCATCTATAAATGTTTTAACTTTTTGAAAATGTTGAATAATATTTTCTGTTGCTGTATCAGCAATATTTAGAACAAGATACCTGCAACATGACTTATTAATATAGAATACAAAATGCACGCGTTACTTATTCTTTTAAAGATTTTTATATTTCATACTTAAATTTGTCAGGAAAGTTGGGTTTTATAAAATTTGCTTCTATATCTTGTCTAACACACACTATATGAGTTATACCATGTTCTAATAAAGATTGCAATTTTGAACGACTAGCAGCACTGTATGGACCAAGGTATAATCTCGGTACCACCTCCTAATGTAAGGTAATCATTAATTTAAAATATATAACCTTTCAGTACTTTTTTTACGAATACATCTCTTTTATCAACTACATCCAGGATACCTGCATGTGCCTTCTCATTGTATAAGTCCATTCTTTTGGTTCGTCCATGTGGATCGGTATTCTCGGATAATCATCTGATTCATTTTCACTAGTTGTTTCCTACAAGACAACATTTATAGATTAACATTAAAAATTCAGCTATAGCAAATTAATAATGATAGTTTGAATATAAATGTTAATAATAATCTTACAAAGTTATTTATATGTAGTGTCTTATTAATATAACAAGAATGGTTAAATAAAACATTTTTATATAAGATAACAAGGCAAAAATATAATGTATACATATATAGCTGTTTCTGTTATTTTTTTTCAAAACGAACATGCAAATACTAAGTCGTATATTCTCAAAAATAGGAAAGATATATATTATAAAGTAACCTAAAAATATGGAAATCCAATGTTTATGACAGTTGAAAATTAGTAATTAAATTATGTACCTCATCCTGATGAGTATCATTACTGTCTAGTGACAGCATACCACTAATTTTTCACACCTGTATGTACGAAACAGTCAAATTTATACAACAGAAGGGAGAACACGATACTATTTTTGCCGCGATCAGAATATGTACATTGTTTTCTGATAAAGCGGCCATTTGCAAAATATTAAACTTACTTATTATGTACATACTGCTCTCTGTTGTACGATGTACGAAATACATTGTATGTACAGTAATACTTCTAGTTTTCTCCGGCGCGGTGCGCTCCGTTAGCGAGAATAGAAGTAGAAAGTACTTTGGTCTGATTGGCCGAGTATATATAAGTATAGATAAATAAGTATAAATAATCTAGCAGAATATATGGTCTCAGGGTATAATACTGTATACTGTGTACCTCATTCTGAAAGCTCTAATTACCTCATTGTAATTTTGTATTCCTCTAATTTTCCCTAATTAAACTACATTGTCTCGCGCATGTGCTACGTTAGTTCATTGGATGCGCATGCGTGAAACTGCACCTGACATGCATCGTGCATGCACCTAATATACCCATATAATAAATTAAAAATTATACATATTATAGCTTTACAAAAAATACGTATTATATATATATATATAAATCACTACATAAAATATATTATGCGCATTAAAATTTACATGTATTATTGTGTTATATACTTAAGGACATGCGCATAATTAGCGCGGGATACGATACGAATGACATTTGTTTATAACGGCTCCATGCAAAAATGTCGAGAAATGGGAATTGTTCTACCACTCGCTATTGTGTAGTCGATCGTGTTATGTCACAGATTTACTGAGTTTTAGTGAAAACCAAAGGATGAATTCTAATTCGATGGAGTTTGATCCATTGTACATTCCCACAGGCCCCGTAAGTTTTACTTTTTCGTATCATATTAATGTAAAGTATTGTACAAAATTGTACAGCCTTTAATCATGAAATCAAATTTGATAAATTTAAGATTGACGAACGATCGAAAAAGATAATTATCAAAACGTCGAAATACAAGACTACCTCGTCGGACGAGGAGGAAGACGAGCCGAGGAGGAAGAAGCAGTGTACTGTAGTAACAGGTAATAAGGGGTTAAGATAAAACTCGATTGACATTAAGGCAAGCACTCGGGAGTTCATCTTGAACCTGAGAGTTAACGTGAATAGAATGCATGGTCTGTAAAGAAAAGCATAGAACCTGCTACATACACACACAAAACATGCATCTCCATCCTACACATATACAACTACACGCGCGCGCGCGCGCGCGCACGCACACACACACAACCACTGTACACACTAAAAATAACTTGTTTTCAATTGTAGATGATGTGCAAGACAAGGACCAAATTGGGACAAAACTCGATAAGATATTAGAAATGTTAGAGAAGATAACAGAAAGGTAAACTGCATGCTTTTCTTTTACCGAAGTAACAGCTGAAATTATTATTTCATAGTAAATGATAATGTTTCTATTTGTATTTTTTTTTTGCAGCAACATCTGTGAAAGGTTGACAGCGGTAGAAACAGAATTAAAGTAAGCATAACAGCCACAGTTGTTATCAAGAAAATTATATTATTTACTTTTTCTTTGCAGGACAATGAATGAACTCCTTCGCAAAAACTTGGATAAGGAAAGTGCCATTAATGTTCAAAAGCCAGAATGTCTGCCTCTCCAAACAATACAAGAGGTAGACAATTTTGAGAACTCTTCCAAAGAAGAATACGAAAGTGTTGTAAGTATATGTAATTATACACGTGTATATTAAATATACATATGTGCACACGTATACACGATTTGTACGATACATGTTCAAAACCATGATCTCTAAATGTATATATGTACATACTAATCTTCACTTGCTTTCTTAGGTAACGTATTTTTCGGACGCAGGAGGATATAATCTAAAAGTGGCAACCAGTGCCTGTTTTAGAGAGGCTATTTCCGATGACCTACTGTTCTCCTATACATGGTTTGGCACAGACGCGTGCCAACCACTGTATAAAACAAAAATTGTGCAGGCCATTTACGGTAAAAATTATTTATTATTACTACTTTAATACATTAATATTAATACGATTATTGAAATAATCTTTGTGTAAAATAATGTAGATGCAGCCTGCAAGAATAAGACGTTTCCTAAGCCCACTCGCCCCGAGTTTCAAGAAGCGATGCGAGTGGTGCTTAGAACGGCGAAGGAGCGAGCGCGGCACAAGAGGCACCGGCAACAACCCCAATCCAAGCCCACGAACTATTGGGACCAGGAAGAGCCAGGGGATCAAGAACTTAATATGTGAAAAATAGTACATTTCAGTGCTCCAAACAGTATTTTTCTGTGCTCCAAACAGCACTTTTCAGTGCTTCAAACTGCACTTTTCGGTGCTTCAAACAGCACTTTTCAGTGCTCCAAAACAGCACTTTTCAGTGCTACAGTAGTTTAAATAATTTTTACGCAAGTTGCAACGTTCAATAAACAACTTTATGAACCCTTGCGACATCGGTGCGATAATTAAATATAGATTTAATTTATTTTCAATTTAAATATTTGCAAATTATACAATATTTCAATCATTTTAGTGCCTATATAGAATTCAAAATAATGAAAATAAAGTTTTCGAATGGAAAATCAGGTGTAGAGATAATTAACCCCATCGACCAAACGGTGTCTAGCTACTTTCTCTCCACACGGCCGACTATCTTTCTTGAGACTAGTTGAGCTTGAGCTTTTCTATTTTTATATATTAAAATCATTGAAAACTTGTATAATTTGCAAATATTTAAATTGAAAATAAATATAACTTAAAATTATATAATTTAGGAGCTCATAAGATTCAGTCTTTCTTTTTACAGAGAGGTTCAACTCTGTTCACCAGAACAGACTTTAGTTTGGTGTCAAGTTCATACCAAATTGCTTACTAGGAACTTCCCAGGAAAGTTACAAGATGACATCATTATTTACATCGATTTTCGCGCGAAATCTTATGAACTATCTTATGAAATATTTACATAATTACACTCTTTCCGGAGCAATTTTTCTTATTATATATTATTTTTATCATCTTCCAAACATATTGTTTGTTAGAAAATAATGATGTTTCCCGCTCTTTTTTAACTTTTATATTCTATCCATCATTGTCTTGAGATAATTAACAAAATATTCATCGAATAACTTTGTTATTATTTACGGTTGTAACATAAAATTAAAGAAATTCTATAGTTTCATAGAAAAAATTATTAACGGATGTAGTACTACAATGTGTTAGTTCCACAATGCATAGGGAAATGCCGGATACATATTGGAAACAGAAGTGTTTACATGCAGCATGTATAGTTTGTACCGCTACTAAGATTTTCCGTGCTGAGACGAATTTGCATGCTTTATTTTGCAGCTATTAAAAATATAGTGTTTCGAGGATCTTAGCTGCTTTCTAGTATGGTGAGAAATTTAAATGAATTTGTAAATAATCAAGATGTATAGAGGTTGGGTTGCCCATAGTTTGTGACAGTTTCAAAACAAAGTTTGAAATTGTTTCAGTATTCATTGCTTAGTAAAACAGAAAATGCTCACGAAGACAGTATCTGGACCTGTGCTTGGGGCTGCCCAAAGAATAAAAAGGAGATAATACCACCAGACAATGAAGATTCGCGGTACATAACCTTAAATACCGTATCTATTGTTTTTATTTCTTAATATTTGACATTTTCATACGGTATTACAGTGATTCGATGCGATCCAATGAAGAAGAAATCGTGGAATACATAGTAACTGGATCTGTGGATGACACTGTCAAAGTTTGGGAATATAAAGAAAAATCTGTACAGTTGAAACAGAAACATAAGTTAACTGGTCATTCCCTGGGTGTATTATCTGTCGCAGTAAGTTCAGATGGCTCGAGTAAGTAGTTAAAACTAGTAGACGTTGGTTGCTTTCGAATGAATTCACTTATATGTTATTATTATTGTGGTATTTGTAGAGTGCGCGTCAAGCTCTTTGGACTCTAGTTTGAAGTTATGGGATTTGGAAACAGGAGAGAAGATATCGAGCATCCAAGTAGGTCCTGTAGATATTTGGACAGTAGTGTTTTCTCCAGACGATAAGTTCATTGTGTCTGGCAGTCATTCTGGTAAAATTCATTTGTATGGAACAGAAAGTGGTAAACGAGAACAAACTTTGGATACCAGAGGTGGAAAATTTACATTGAGTGTTGCCTATGTAAGTTATAACATACACTGGATTGATTTTATTTTAAGCAATTCTTTGTTTTACTATTTTATCTGTTTCAGAGTCCTGATGGTAAATATATTGCCAGTGGTGCTATAGATGGAATTATCAACATATTTGATGTTACCTATGGAAAAGTATTACGTACACTGGAAGGTACATACAGAAAATTCTTTTGGTAACTTCCATCCATTGTAGATATTATTTAAACTTATATATTTTAGGTCATGCTATGCCTATTAGGTCCCTCTGCTTTTCACCAGACTCTCAGCTGCTTCTTACCGCATCGGCTGATGGACATATGAAACTGTACGATGTGTAAGTAATTTTGTTCATTTTGAATTGGTTCATAAATTGAGCTATTAAATTTATTATTCATTAATAAACTTGTTCCTTTGTACAGGAAAGATGCTAATTTAGCTGGCACAATGTCAGGTCATGCTTCATGGGTACTAGGTGTTGCCTTTGCTCCAGATGGTAAACAATTTGCATCTAGTAGCTCTGATCATACGGTTAAAATCTGGGAATTAGCGCAACGGCAGTGCCTACATACTTTCGGTGAACATAACGATCAGGTATTAGTACTATATATATATATATATATTAATAATGAACGCAGTAAAAACTAAATTGTCTAAATATTTTTGTTCTTTCAGGTATGGGCCGTGAAGTACAGTCCTCTGAGAAACGATGTACTTGTATCTGTATCTGATGACAAATCCATTAATTTATACAAATGCCCGAAATACGATAAATAAATGTTTTATAAGGGTAGATTAATAAATGTTTATATTTATTGTTTTTCCTTGAAGTATTTTACAATTTATGAAGTATTACTCTTCTTTGACACATGTGTTTTAGTGACACAGAGTTGTATTATTCTCCCCGTGACAGAAACATCAAAGTAGATATTAGTAGCTATAAATTTTATTGTACTGCAATTATTAATATACAAATCATTAAGATGTCTGCCAAATCTAAAGTACAATGTAACAAAAGATGAATTACGCTTAAGATCTAAGTAAAAGACAATGATTATTACAAACGAACTGTAAGGGAAAACAGAATCCAGTGTACAGACCAAATCTGCGAAAAGGAGAACATAAAGCTACCCTGGTATGGTTCCAAGTTGGGAGGGTTAAATCTAATTAACTCGAACTGGAACAGGGTAAAACACGCATAACAAATCTCGGAAAATAATCCACAGTGAAAGCTACTCTATATTGTGTCAAACATCTTCCTTCTAATGAATCTGTCGGATCTTATACGACGCCATGCAGAAGGAAAGATGACGCGATATAGACGAAAACTAAAAGAATCCATAATACTCTTTGATGCCGCAAATATACAGTAAATTTTTCTTAAATGAATTTGAGAAGGAAACGTATTCAATTAAAAGTTAGATAAACGCCAAGCCAAAGTTTTTCAATTTTCAGATCGGTAAATACGTAATTGATCCGTACACACTTCTAGCCGTACCTACATGAATTTTAGAAAGGGTAACAGTCGAATCCTGTAGACAGTTCTTACATGCAAATCTCGATTTTACGTAGTACATTATGACCAAAATAGAAGCTACTTCACTTGTTAATTTTTAAGTAGACTAGAAACTTAAAGTAAAAGTTTACAAAATTTTGTCTCTTTTTCTTTTTATATAATGCCGGTTTTAGCGTTACTTACTTAGACCGCTACATCGATACAAATGTTACTACCTTCTTGTCAATAACATTCTGTCGTGTTGAAGGTGTCCAAGCTTTGACCGAATCCTCGTCGTGTTCCTATCAGTCTTTAAAAAGTAATCAGATTTTGTATCCGTCGATAGAATACAAATCGGTTACGATGGAAACAAAATACAGATCTCATTCCTTGCGAATTTACCTATTACAAAGATGTACAGCAATCAGTTTATCTCTTGCCATTATACATCCATGGGTCGCAATACATATCACTAAACTTTCTACAGTTTTGTTTTGTTCTTTTCTTTTTTTGTTCATTCATGTTTAATATATACAAAATTGAATAAATAATCGAGGATAATCACTGCTACATACTACAGATTTTTCAAAGTATTTTCCCCTCTAATCGTGGGACTTCTCAGTAGTAATGTATATACAACACGCAAAGTGAATAGGAATGATATTAGAATTTCCAGCTGCTATTTCACACTTTATTCGTACCTCATAAAAAACTTGCACCCAGCGATGCAACAAACAAACAGTCCGATGACCATTCTTGTATATTCGATCGTGTAAAAATCAGTGAAATACGATGGAGATTTTCCGTGTCTTTCGAACAATGAGGTAAAATGAAATGGTTGAACTTACTTATCGAGTACTTGCAATGCGTATCGTGTGTGCGGACATCGTTGCCGGCACACCATGAAGCAAATGTACAATGACTAGCCTGAAACGAAAAAGCGATACTACCGTAAGGGTTGTTACTCTTTCCTTAAATAGATCGGGGGCGTCTCCTATACTGTCGTTACTCTCGTCGATGCCGTGACAATGTCACTGTGACAATCGGCCACCCCAAATTTGCTTTCACTTTCGTTCGCTGGAACTTTGGTTGTCTGGGAAGGAATGTCTTGTTGTTTCGGATTGTAATTAAAGGGCGGTACAATGGCGGAGGCGGGTGTGCGGACACCACTGCCATTCACGTACGTTTGTGCAGAGCCGTCTGCGTTCGCAGAGTCCACTCTAATGAAGGAACCGAGGCGTGATATTCGTTTAGTTGGGTCTATCTCCATCGGGGAAGACTCAGTGTTCTGTGGCTTCCGTAAAATCACCGAAGCGTCCGCTACTTGGACAGCGTCCTTTCTATGCGTAGAAGCGTCGCCGGACTTTACAGGTATTTTGCAAGGAGCGTCGTTCGCGTTCATCCCGCTCAAATCACAAGAGTTTCTGTACTTCACTTTGCTGGGCTGAATGCCCACTACCAGAGGTCTTTTCGATTTTGACTTGTACAAGGCGGACTCGGGATTATCGTTTTCTTGGGGTACACCCTCGAACGTGGAGCTACGGAATAGCCTGAAGGCTGGCGGATTGACCACGGCCGAGGGTGCATCCACGACATTGGCACAACTGCTAGGCTGTAGCCATTGTCTAGTGTCGGGTTTCTCCAACCGTTGTTTGTTCTTGCTCTCCTCGACCTTTTTCCAGAGACTCGCGATTTTGCTAGTCGCCTCCTTCGCTAGCTTTCTAGTCTGCATCCCTGTTGACGAGTTCGACACGATGCTAGAATTACTATTGGATCTTTGGCCCAGGGGGCCTATTTTGCGAAAAACCTTACCGTTTTCCGCTTGCGCAGCGCTCTGATTACCGGTCGGGACTTTCGAGCCCGAAGTCGATTTTCCCGTAGGCAAACGTTTCGGTGCGACTAACAGCGGCAACGCTTTAGGGGACTGCATCTTCTCCACGGCATTTCCCTTCGCGCCTTTCGTTTGGTGCGCTTGAAGGGTCTTTGGCGCAATTTTCGGTTTCACCATCATCGTCGGATGCACCTTGGAGGTGGCACCCTTGATCGGTTTTGCGATCTTCGTTTTGATGGGCGAGGAGGACGAGGAGACCACCAGCGGCGCGTTCTCTACTTCCGGTTCGTCTTTGGTAAATGTACCCTGCCGTTCCAACGGCTTCACGGCTACCTCTGTTTTACTGTCCTGCTGGAAATTCGAGGAGCAAGTCGGAGGCGTGCTGTGTCGCTTCACGGATTTGGTAAAGGTCAACGATGACCCTTTTTGGGGAACCGACGCCCTCTTCGCGGCGGCTGAAACGTTCCTCGTTCGTTTCTCCGCGTCCGTTAAAGTTGAAGTCTTTTGAAAACTTGCTCTCGAAGATTCTTTAGTTAAATTGCTCGAGCTGTTGTTGTTCTGCCGAAGAGTGGTAGCTCTGGTTGCTCTGACTATGGGCGATGTATTGCTCCTACCTATGGGTATACCGCTGACAGGATTCACTTGTTTCAATGGAGACGATTGAGGGGTTGGTTTTCTAGTAATGGGATTCGAGTAGAGAGCCTTCCTTCTACCACGGATGGCCTTCGGACTCTCTGGTTCTGATTTATCTGTAGCGTTCGAATCGTTACTGGGATCCCTCACCATGCCTGGTTTTATAATCCGCGGTCTCTTGGTCTCTCGAGGCGGTTCCTCGGCGTTGTTGGATTCATTCTCGCTATCGCTCTCCACGGTATCGTACCTGACATCTTCCTGCGACCTACACTCGATCCTGGCGTTGTCTTTATTCTCCTCCACCTCGCGCGCTTCATCCATTTGTTGGCTGCAAGCGCCTATCAGCTTCTTGGAAACGCCATTGACAAAACGCATTCGCAAGTTTCGTTCTTGCGACTCCGATTCGTTCGACACCAAACTGATGGTCTCGCAGTCCAGCAGCGGCTCCTCGACGTTCTGATTCGCCTTGTTCGACTCGTTCAACGTGTTCAACACGATGGTAGCATTCTGCTCCAGCATAGTTTGAATCTCGTCCGACTGAATAGTGTGCGTTATAGCCAATGAATTCTCGTCCGGCCCGTTCGCAGCGGCGTTCCCGTCAGCGTTCTTGAACATGCATTCCGAATTGTTCAACGTTATCGTGCGGTACCTATCTCTGTTCTTCTTCTGCTCCATGCGTTTCTTGATCAACGTTTTGCAAGCCGACAACTTCGTCGGTTTGGGAATAGCAGATTTCACAGGGGACATCGGTTCCGACGACACAGGACTCTCCGTGTCCCAGCTATTGTCAGTTTCCGGTAGATCTTGGGTCACCTCCGGGAATGGAATCTCCAACACCTGCGTCCGAAACCTTGCCCTGTCCTCCTGTCTTCGTTGTTTGGGCGTCAGCTTGGAAAACGGCGACAATTTGCCACGCGGAATTTTGTTCTCCCTGTTCTCGTTTTCCTGCTTGTCCGTTTCCGCCTCCTTCTTGCTCATCTCCGCGGCTATGGTGTACGTTTTGAACCTCTCCTTGGCCAAATTCCGCTTCTGCTTCGGCGTGAGGTTCCTGTGCAGCCGCTTCTTCGGCGTCGACTCGGCAGAGCTTGAGACACAGTACTCCGAGGAGATCGGGGTAACTGCTTCGTCCGTGTCGTTGCCAACTTCGTCGATCTTGTCAACGACCATCGGATGCGGAGCTTCCTCGGTGCGCAATTCCGCATCGATGCACAACGTGTCGCTGCAGACAGTCTCCGTGACGTGTTCCACCGTTGATTCGTCCATCTCGCAGACCTCGTTGAACAACGAGGGTGGATTGATGTTCTCCAGGTACTCGCTCAAGCTGTTGTTCGCGCTGCTCTGCATGTTTTCAGCGTATCGCATGCAGGTTATGGAAAGGACATTGGCCACAGGCTTCAACAAGTCGAAAACAGCGTCGCTTGCGGTTAGACTTTGAGAGTCCTGGTCCTTGGGGTCCGCCACCTCCGACGTGATGCTCGCCACGCTAAGCATGCTGTTCTCCATGTCGCCCACATCCGGCAGTTCGTCCATCATCGACGGTGGCTTGACGCTGTCCAAGTGCGAACCGGTGCACTCGTTCAACAGATTCTCCAAGCTGCTGGTGTGAGTCTGATTTTGACTCAACGCTCGTTTAGCCACCACGCCCAGAGGTAGGGACTTTTTGCGACAGCTTCTCGAGTCTGTCAAGGACGAGTTTCTTACTTGAATGGGAGGAAGCGACGTAGAGTTGCATCGGTCTCTATTGACGATCGCCTCGCTGCAGTCACCCGAGCCGGCATAGCTTGCTATCAATGATAACATGCTTCCCATTAAGGACGGAGGCTTGATGGCCTCCAGATCCATGGAAGTCATGCTCGTCGTGTCCATCTCGTTCTGCTTGTTCATCTCTGCGTCCACAGCCTCGGCCAGCTTTATCGCTTCTCTTTGAATGATCTTCGAGTTCGTCATATGAGCACTGTCGCTGCTGGCTGTCGCGTATTCGGAGGTGACGGTGCCTGGGTCCTCCTGCGCGTCGCTTTTGAACGAAGCGATAATAGGTGCGCTCATGCTGATGCTAGGGAACGAAACTTCGTTGGGCGAATCCTCGTTCCAGGTGTCGCTCAGTATGCTCTGCTTCATGGTGCCGGAGTCGCGTTCCCGAATTGCTTCTGTCTGCTGGACCAACGTGGCTGTCAATCGGTCTAACGAGGCAATCATGGCGTCTGGATCTCTCTGCCGCCGATATATGTCCTCCTTCTTTCCATGCTTTGGCGTGTCGCTATTCTTATGCGCCGATTTGTGCTTCTCACTGGTGTCATCCTTCCGAATGCCGTCCACCGTGTCATCCATTCGACCGCTGCTGTCCGAATAGTCGATTTCTTTCTCCTCGAACCGGTTTAGGATTTTCGATTTCAGCGCAATTTTGCTCGTATTGTCGATGGGCTTCGACAAACCAGGTTGAATGCACAGTTCTAGAAGAGCGTGTTCAGATTGCTCGACGGAATCGATGGATTCGCTGCTTTCCGAGTCTGTTACTTTCGTGTAAGATTGTTGCATCGAGTTCTCTACGATCCTCTCCTTCGACACGTCTGCTGTTTTATCATTTTCACTGTTCTCTGTCAGCCTCTCGTCCTCAAGAAGATCGTTGTGCACCAGGGACGACATGTCTTCGTTCGACTCGATGTCGATGCTGGACAGATACTGTTGCTGATTCGGCTCTGCGTTGAAAACTATCGTTTCGTTTAAAATAGGACTATTCCTCAAATTCGAAGGGAGCGAAAACTTGCAGAGGTTGTCGTCGCCTATCTCGGTAATGTGCTCAACGTTATCGCTTATGTATTCAAGTTGATTTTGCAAAATGCTCGAATACTCTTCCGCGGCCTCGGTTTCTATCCTCTGTAAGAGAAATTGTAGCGTTTCAACTTTGTGAAATAACATGACAACATGGGACTGCAAACGACCTTACCTTCTGAGTTAATTTGTTTGTATACACGCTATAATCGGATACAATATTCACACTCGACGAATTAATCGTGTCATTGCTTTCCTCGCATACTATTCGATTCGTGTCTAGATTATTCATAGTGGAATCAGTTAATACGTTGCATTCCACTTGATCTAACGCCACGCTTGTCTGATACCTAGCTAGATTACTTTCACTCCGAGGAAGCTTTTCGAAATTGTTTCCTATGAAGGAGTGTCTGTGCCTGGAATACAGAATAAAAGTAAACGGTCAATTGCAGTCAGTTTATTAGCACGTTATCGGTGTGTACATCGATCTCTTTTTTTTCTTTTTTTTTTTTTAAACATATATATTCACCTATTATTTTGCATTCCAATATTAATACAAGCTGTCAGTAGATCTTCGTCATCCTCATCTCCATCACTGACTTGATCTAAACATTCGGAAGAGGAGTTTATATTTAATGTACACGGCATGTTACGCGTATCGCCTTTTAGTTCAAATTCCTTACATCCTGAATCGTTAGACGCTTTCAATGCACTGGCCCCATATGAATTAACTCCGTTCGTGGGGAAATTTTTACCGTTTTTTCCGAACATTTCATTTTCATTCTCATACTTTTTCTCCACGTCTATGAAACAAACGGATTCACACATTTCTTTTTACGATCATAAAAGCGTGTACACAAAATCTCATTGTAATGTTTAAAAAAGATATTGTCCACGATCAAGAATCGGTCAAGTTACCTGATTTCACGTTCCCCGAACTAGATGCCATGTTACTACTTTCGTCCGAGCGCAAGTTGTCTGATGACGTTTGCGTGTGCGGTGTTCTCAAACTATTAATTAAAAAAAAAAACAAACGTAAATGTCTGGACTTCGTTTAAATATAGCACAACCATTCGAAAATTTAAATCTAAATTCCGACAGCTATGTATTTTTACTTGCATTGCTTAAAGTATACAAACCTCGATGGGATCTTGACCGAATGTCCGTTTTCCTCGACATCGCTCTTAGCCTGCAAGCTAAACTCCTGTTTGTCGTGCAGCTTTCTTTGCTCCTGTATCTTCTTCATGGTACACCTTTGCCTATTATCCTCCTGCAGATCGGACGCAGAAGCAGCCCTGGAAGAGTTCAGAGACGATCCATGGGGCGTTCCCTCGGTGCAGTAAGTCTTCAGGGTATCGTCGTGAATGAGCTCTTGTTCGCTGCTCGCAAAATAATGAGAATGCTGTTTATCCTCGTCCAGGCTACGTTCAGCATACCGCAAGCTATAATCGGTCGGTTGATCCAAATCGGTCTCGGCGTAATCGCTGAACAAGTTTCCCTCTGTACAATGGCCGACAGTCGGCGAGATGGTTTTCTGTATGGTGTTCATCGGGTTATGCTGATGCAATACTGTTTTGTCGTACATATTGCTGAAGTTGTCGTTGCCAGGGGAGTTGCTGCTGTTGAAGGTCAAGGAGGCTGGCGTATCGATTCCAGATTTGCCGGTGATGTATTCGGTTTTCTGGCAGACGATCAACTCGGTCTCCTCCGAGACACTGGACTGACTGCCGGCTTTCGAGGATACGCTTTGCGGTAGATTGTCCTCCACCGAGGAGTGCAGCAGATTCTGCGAACAGGCGGACTCTTGGTCCGGCGCGGAGGACCAGGAGATGGTGGAGTTGGTGCACCGCAGTTCCCCTATGTCGTTGTAGCCATCCGAGGACTTCAATCTATCGGGGATCGCGTTCTTGTACCTTAGTGTGTACTTCTTCTCGGAGGAGGTCTTGACGTGGTTGTCGTTGGACATTCCGGTGTCGAAGCCGACAGCCGAATGAAGGGACGAGGACTGTTGCTTGATCTGGATGTCCGTGGGAGACAGTCCGTTCAGCACGTGGCGGTTCACACGCTCGAACATGGTGTCCGAGTGGGTGCTGGTGATAGAGCGCATGGAGTCCCTGCTTTCGCTCCTGGCGACCCCGTTGCATTTCGCGCTGGACGTTCCCGGTTGATTGTGCAGATGATAGTTACGCAACGCCCGTGCATTGATCCCAAGGAAGCTGTGGTCCATCTTGAAGATGAACTTATCGTCCTTATTCGTGGGGGACGTGCTCGGCTCGATGTTGTCGCAGGTCTCGGCCAGGTTCTGATCTATCTCCTGTTCCAGGGCTCTTTGCCTGCGAGCGACCAACGTGGGCAACGTTGGAAGGCCCAGTCCACGGGCGGTCGAATCCAAATGGACAAGGTTGTTGCAACCCGGCCGAGCGCTCAGCAAGTTCTTCAAAGCTGCGCTCGAGCCCATCGAGATCATTTTGTGCTTGGAATGAATGAGACTGCGGAGCATGGGCACCGCGCCCAGGTCCCACAGCAGTCTCTGGTCCTGCGGACATCTGGCCGAGAGGTTCCAGAGCGCTCCGCAGGCATTGCTGACCACGGTCAAGCTGGGTGACCGCAGCTGTTGCAGCAAAACCTGCAGACACCCTCTTTCCCTGACGATGGCTCGGTAATCTTCCCTGACGGCGATGTGGCTGGAGACGTTCCTCAGTATACCGCCCGCGTTCTCCACTATCGCCAGAGTCTTGGACGGCGCCTTGTAGCTCAGCATGTCCACTAAGAAAGCGAGCGCGCCATCCACGACGCAGATGTCGATTTTATTTGTACTACAGTGCGCCGAGAGGTTCCAGAGCGCGGAGAGGATCGACTTCAGCGTCGATTCTTTTCTGCCTTCCATCGCGGCCTTCATCAGACCGGTCACGGCACCTACTTCCCTCAAGGTTTGCTTGCTGCTGGTGTCCGCCCGCCACGACAGATTCCTTAGGACGCTGGCGGTCACCTGTCTCAGATCGTCGCTGGGACTTCGCAGCTGCGAGACCAACGCTTTCATGAACTCGCGGAACGAGCAGAGCAGCGCCTTGTTATTCCCATCGCCGAACGTGAGGTTCGTCAACGCCATTCCGGCGTACCTACGCAGGGTGATGCAGTTTTGGTCGTCGCACTCGCTGCCGTGGGCCATGTGGTCCATCTCGATCAGCTCGGCTACCGCGTGCAGTCCTCCGAGCTGGCACATCGCGTGACGATGGGCTTCGTCGAAAGAGAGTTTCATCAGCGCGGCTATAGTGGGTCCTGGGTGTCTCTCCAAGTCGTCGGGAACCTGCCCCGTCTCCAAAGATGATCGCAGAGCCTGACAATAGTCTCTCAGCTGTTCCAGGAACCGAAGTACCCTGGCCTCGCGTCGCCCAGCACGCTCGTCGCTCTTCGCGTGAACTATATTGTGCAGCGCCCTGGAAGCCCTCTCCCTGGTCTCCAGGTCCTGCCTCGGGGCGTGAATCAGCTGCACCAGCAGAGGCAGACATCCCGACTGCCTCATGATCAGACAATTGTCCGTCGAATTACTCATCGAGAGCAGAGTCGCGCTCATGTCCTCGCCACCCTCCGTGCTGCCCAGCATTCCCAGCAGGTTGTACACCACGTCCACCTTCGCTCCCAACCTCCTATCGCCCTGGACCTCGGAGGAACAGCCAAGGGTCCCGCCAGAATTCGATGAGAAGCTCATCACGCTGGCTATATCCTGCAGAACAAGTTGTCGAACGTTACCAAACCGGCATCAACGATTTCACGGATGCTTTCGATAATTAACAAAGTTCTATAGGAAAAACGAGTTAGGCTATTTGTACGAAGAATCGGAAGACTCACGTTATGTACAGTGGTCGACGTGCTTTGCTGAGTGGAGAAGCCCATCTGCTGGCTGGCCCAGAGGTCCCTTCTGATGGGCCAGGTTCCTCTGTAAGAGGACGGCACCCGGTGACCTTGCAAGGACGTGTCTGGTTTGCTGTCTTCCTCGCTGCTGCCACCCTCATTGTAGTGTCTGCTTCTTCGCGAATAAATCTGTCCGACGGGAAAGGATTCGATTACTTGACGCTTGTTCATCTTCGAATCACCTTGAGCTAGATATCTTTTTTATCTCGCATAAATCATCGTGCCCCGATGGTACGACGAACGAAGCCAGGTCGACGAAGGAAACAAACAAAGTACGAATAATCTAAATAAAAGTTGCATCTCCCGCTGTTCGGATAACAAAAGGAAACTCGGTTAGCGACAATCGAACCGAACAATGGTCAGGATCCTCTCAATTCAGATTCGCCGATAATAAAAAGCCAATTCAGATTTCCCGAGGACGCGGATGAAGAGTCGCAGACAGAGAGAGAGCGAGAGAGAGAGAGAGAGAGAGAGAGAGAGAGAGAGAAAGAGAGAGAGGGAGGGAGAAAGAGGGAGTGAGAGAGAGGAGAGGAGGGGGGAGGAGGAGGAAATCCAAGGTTACTTCCAATACACTCAACTGAAAATAAATGCTGTTCCATCCGCGAGGAAGAAAAACGCTCTGACCTCGCAAGGGATGATTCTGGCGAAGGGAAGCGCACAATAAATTCTTTGCAGTATGATTTTCGGTGGCAGAGCGAGTTAAAGGGTGGCGAAAGAGAGAGGAGGAGAGATGGGACGACAAAGAGAGAGAGAGAGAGAGAGAGAGAGAGAGAGAGAGAAGAGGGAGGAGGGGAGGGGGGCAATCCAAGGTTACTTCCAATACACTCAACCAAAAATAAATGCTGTTCCATCAGCGAGGAAGAAAAACGCTCTGACCTCGCGAGGGACGATCCTGGCGAAGGGATGTGCACAATATAAATTCTTTGCAGTATGATTTTCGGTGGTAAGGCGAGCTAAAGGGTGGCGAAAGAGAAAGGAAAAATGATAAGACAACAGAGAAAGAGAGAGCGAGAGAGAGAAAGAGGAAGAGAGAGAAAGAGAGAGGGAGAGAGAGAGAGGGAATGCAGGCGGTACGTGTGCGTAAACGTGTAGAACGGAGAAAGACAGAATGAGCTCTCTCTCCGTAAAATCAATACGCTGGCTACGTTGGCGGAGAGAAGTGTATATAGCGGGGGGCTCGTGTGGCACAAGCACGAGGTAATATAGCAGTGGTATTCAACCGTTCCTCTTGCGCCAGGAAACAGGCGTCCAGCTAGGAATCTCGGTGGGAAAAACGAAAATGAAACCGTCTGGGAGAGAACGTAACGCGGTTGATCCGCGTCCGCTATGCGGCTAGGAGAGCCGCCAGTCCGCATCGACTAAACGATGGAATTAATGCGCGTTTCATTGCCAATTACATAACTATGCAGCAAGCACTGCTCCGCTCCGCGGGATATACTACTGTGCTCGTCCACCCCCCGAGAACCCTGGATCGGAAAACGGATCGACGTTTCCCGTAAACAGAGACCCTTGCCGCACTCGATCCGCTGATTCTACCGCTAATCGATTCTGCTCAGGGTGGCCGCAGCCTAATCGTAACGCGGATTTAGGGGCCCCGGGGTCTCTAGAACGCGAAATTCGTCCGACGATGCACCGATTTCGCGAGATTGTGTCTCGTTGCGCAACGCGTCCGTTGTTGACACTTGCGGCGATCACTTGCCCCGAGGAACCACCACCGAGGTGCACACTGGTAGATCAGGTCGATTTTCCGAAACTGTCCTGCTCTATTTGCCTGGACGTCCGTCGACGAGAGAGCTCGATGCAATTCGAGGGAATGCATGCGAAGCGAAGCGGTCCGAGATGGAACGGTTTAGCGCGTCGATCAATTTAGGCCAGCGAAGGGATCCGCGGAGGAGGCCGAAGGGAGAGCACACAGGTGAGGACGACGCGATCAGGGGTCGAGGATAGAGTTTATAGGGGACAAGCCGAAGAATTACCTCGGGGCTCGGCGTGGACGACCTTCGTTCGTCCTCCTCCTTGACTTCCGGCTCCATGGCATCCTCTTTGCTGGTCTCAGCGATCGCGGAGCCTAGGTAGAACCTTGGCCTGGGGCTGACGACGGCATTGACGGACGACGACGATGAGGCGGGGGATGATGTTGCCGTTCTCAGAGCGTTCTTCGACGCAGAGCATCTCGCGGATGTCGCCGCCGATGCGACGACGACGGGGTTGAACGCTGCGCCGTCCAACGACGACTCCAGCTCGTGCGCCGCGACGCCGACCAGGGGCGTAGGTATCTCGACGCCGTGGGGGCGCCGTTGGCCCCTCCAGGAGCCGACACCTTCCACGCCGACGCCTACCGGCCTGTGGGGAACGCGACAACACTCCTCCGGGAGCAATCTTTCTGCTCTCTTGTAGCTCGGCTCCGCGTCCTCCTGGAACAAAAAAGAGTTTCACCGTTCGAGCTGGCTCATATTTTTCTTTTTGGGGAAACGCGTACGATCGACGAACACACCCCTCGCCGAATTTACGTTTCTCGTGTTCCATGAAAAAGTATCGTACCATCGATGTGCGCAATTTTATTTCATTATATGCATAATTTTGTTTCAATTGTTATCGATGCGCGCAATTATTATGCAATTTGGCAGCGTGAAATTTGAGAGAAAATCAAATAATTTTTGTGCTATACAATTAATCATGCTCGAACATGAACTAAAAAAGGGGGCACGGTAACTTGCTATCGCCCACGGTAACTGGATCCGCTACCCTAGAATTTCCACGGTGTTTCTTCTCGTTCGCGTGCGAATTCCGCAGCGGAGCCCCAAGAATGTCTAGGACTTCTTTCGAATCGATTCGAGTTTCGCAGGACGCGTCCCGACCGGTCAGGATCGCAAGGACGACCTTTCGTTTCGCGACGGGTTAATTGGTTCTTGCACGCAGCGTGCCGTCGCATGCGGGCTGCTTAACGAGGCGGGCATTAAAACCGCGAGATCATGCTGCAACGGCGACCGGGGAGAAGCATCGGCGAACGACGTCCGTGAACTTACGAGAGAAAGTGCGGAGAACCGACGGATTCGAAATCCAGTCTTGGTTAAATTGTTACAAAACGATATTAGTCGCGTTCAGGGTTCGATGGTTCTAGCGTTAACCCTTTGCACTCGAGTGGCGACTCTGAGGCACCGTTAAGATTGTTAGATCACGTTCCAAGATAATTTTTATATTGTCAAAGTTTAGATGCTGTCTCTTATACACATCTAGATGTGTATAAGAGACAGCGAGTAGCGACTCTGAGGCACCGTTAAGATTGTTAGATCACGTTCCAAGATAATTTTTATATTGTCAAAGTTTAGATGCTGTCTCTTATACACATCTAGATGTGTATAAGAGACAGCGAGTAGCGACTCTGAGGCACCGTTAAGATTGTTAGATCACGTTCCAAGATAATTTTTATATTGTCAAAGTTTAGATGCTGTCTCTTATACACATCTAGATGTGTATAAGAGACAGCGAGTAGCGACTCTGAGGCACCGTTAAGATTGTTAGATCACGTTCCAAGATAATTTTTATATTGTCAAAGTTTAGATGCTGTCTCTTATACACATCTAGATGTGTATAAGAGACAGCGAGTAGCGACTCTGAGGCACCGTTAAGATTGTTAGATCACGTTCCAAGATAATTTTTATATTGTCAAAGTTTAGATGTAAAAAATAGTTAAAAGTCTAACTGTTGTGCGAGCCACGAGACTCAATTTTATACGGAAAAATTAGTCGGAGAAATTAATTTAGATGGCTTCGAGTGCAAAGGGTTGATAGAGGCAAGTGGTGCTAGAAAACAGCACCGGCGGCGTATTTTATACGACAGCTGTACAAAAGCGACGGAACTGTCTCCGAAACTCTTTTTGCAGTTTCAACGCGACCTTACGGAGGGGAATGCCCTCTGAACAACAGCCCCGCGTACTTCGTTCGAGTCTCTCTCGCGGCGTTAACATCGAAAACTTCTAAATAATATGAGCAACGCATTAAATTACAACAAACAATGCCGCGCGGCAAATGAAATCCGTACGTAAACGATAATCGCAATAGCGCCGGTATGCTCCGAGGAGTTGTTGCAATTCAATTTTTTTGCATTATCTGATCCGAGGCAACACTCGAGACCTGGAACGACGTGTTGATCGTATTGTTAACTGAATAACCATTAATCGTGCGCGTCTAGCCAGCGGAGAAAAAAAAAAGAGAAAACTTGAACGACTCGGGCCGAAGCGGGCCGTCGCGGCGTTAACGAGACGCGCGAGCGCGAGCGCGGCCCGTTGAACAGTCCGTATCTGTTTCGAATGCATAATTAAAGGAATCGCGGATCACCGGAGCAGGCATTGTTGCTGCTTATCCGCCACTTTCACCCGGTTTTCTCTGCTGAATACGCGAACCGCGGGAACCACGCGAGACAGGAGAAGAATCGGCTACGCGTTGCTTTCGGAATAATTGTCTTGGAATGCATTTGAATCGCAACGAGAGCCGGCTGCGTTCGAAAATCGTGGCCAAGGTTGATCGAGTAAGTGGAACATCCAGCACTCGTACCGATCGCTCGCCGTTCGAAGACGTCGTCGTCGTTCTATCGGATTTTTCAGCGGTTCTAGGCGAGCCGTCGATTAGAGAGACATTACTGTACCGATTATCCTGGCCGCTAAGCTGCGTTTAAATTGATCCGTTGCTATTTTAGGCCGATTCGAATTTGCTGGTTCCGTTTCACATTACCGCGAAAGCTCTTTCCAGGTTTCGTACAATGTTCCGACGAAACGAAACGAGAACACGGTGATTCGTGATCGAGCGTAATCCCTGGTTACACGGTGTATTATTCAATTCGTAGTTGGATATTAAGCGACGCGCTAATTCACTACCGGCAGCCTGAATCATCCTTAATTGGCTCGTGATTCACCCTACGCTCGGATGGCTCGGATGACTCGCTCTCGGCTTCTTATTGTCCTTCTATTATTTATTCAAATTTCTCGGCCGATGTTCTTGATACCGCGACTAATGATACACGCGGTGAGAAACGTGCGAAACCGAGGTTTTCAAGATCGCGGACTCGATCGGCGGTCGACCTTCTTGTTTAGGGAACGGTCCCGGCTAAAAGAGCGAGCGATAAACCGGCAGTCGGCGGTGCTATTATTTATTTAGCTTTCACCGGAGAGCTTCGTTCCCTTTCTCCGGCCGTGGGGCCCCAAGCCAGCCAGCAGCTCGTTATCCGACGACCCAACGCCACTGTTCGGGAGATAACCGCGCGGTGTGCCTCTATTATATGGGAAAACGTGTACAGAGAGGAGAGGAGAGGTTCCGTCACGAACCGTGAGCCTCCGACGAGCGGAATAAGCGATCGAGGCGGAACGTTTATCTCGGATAGACAGCTGTTTTTATGGCCGGTGAAAACACGTAAGCGCCCCGTGTACACACAGGCCGTAAATCGGATTCCGGCGGAATATCTTTTGCCCGGGGAACCGGGAACGACCATCTGGATGAATAGGGAATCAAGATAAGGGAATTGTGTTAAGGAGCAACGGGAAATGCCTCGTGAACGCGAAATGCTAATCGGCGCGGCTGTTGTAACGCCTTAACGACAGGCTCGTTATACCGTCGAAATTTACATTCGCCGCTTCGGAATTTCAATTCATCGGCTAACGATCTCCACCTTGTTTAAAAGTGTCGGATAACGTTCTATCGGATAACGCGCGCTTTCTAGTTTCCATCGATCTTTGTCCGACGAGAAAACGTGTCGCTGTTCGCAGCCGACAGCGTCGATTCGATTGACGCCGCCGCTGCGTCATCGGTCCTCGCCGCGCACGGTGGCTCGTCCGCGGGAAAACCGAGGGCGCAGGGCCATTTTCCACACGATTTTGCGTACCTCTGCAGCGGCCGATCGGTAATCGGATCGTTTGAGTCGCTGCAATTTATTACCGTAGTTCTATTCTGTGGGCAAATTTCAGGGACGTAATTCGACGGCGAAGCTCGATAAATCCATAAAACGAGAACGTGGTCGATGCTTTATATTCCGATGGTTTCGACGGAAACTACCGAGTTTAATTTCGATGCGGGAGTCTCGGGAAAACCGAGGCGCCGAAAGGAATCGTTGAAATTTAATCTCTGCGCAGCGGAAAAGCCGAAATCGCCGGACACTGAAAACTGAAGCGGCGAAAGGAAAATCTCACGGACCGATAAAAAAATTCCGAAGACGCGCCCAGGACCTCCGTGAATCGCTTATCTCGATCTGTCCGACGCGTCGCTTATCGCGTTCTATTAATAAGCCGTCTCGTTGAGTCACGCGCACCGTTCAGGTTGCGATCGTTCGATCGCGAAATTACGAAACCCCGGCATTATCTCTCGCTGCACAATCGTCGGAACCAGCTTTTCCGGGAACCCTCGATTCTTTCTGTCTCGACGGCTTCGATTTTTTCTGTCTCGATGGCTCCGATAATAGGAGAAGATTCCACGGCAGCCGGGGAACGTTCGACGACGAACGTGCGGTGTTCTGGCCAGCATACGTGCGGCGCGTGACTGAAATACGCTTCCTTGCTCGGTCGTGTCAAAAATAAAGATACAGCTCTCGCAGGGGGGCTCGATTTCGATGCCGCCGGAATATCGACGGTGTGTGTAGATTCTTTAGACTCTAGACTGTAGAGAGGAACCGGCGAGACCGCAGTGCTGGCAAAGAAATCGGCCGAAAATTTCGCACGTTCTCTGCCAACCGCGCACGATTGCGGCGAGGTCGCGGGGTCATTGGTGCAGCTCTAAGTGCACTGCGGATTTCATGTAAATGCAAATCTTCTCGCCTCGGTTGCAAACAGTGGAATATCGCGTCGTTTCTATCGGTGATGATTTTAAAACACTTCGGACTCTACGATTTACAGTCAAGGTTACGTAATAAATAGTGCACGAATAATAATAATAATAATAATAATAATAATATGCAATATATATGCGTGAATAATTAATATAATACGTACGAATAATTAGCGTACCCAGAGCCCCGACCAACGTCGGAGAAATATTCGTCGGGTCGACGGACAAAATGCAACACTTTCGGTCGGAAACTGTTCGAACCGTTTGACTGCTTTCGTCAAACAGTTTCTCGTATTATTAAAACTGTAGGAAATATTTTCGCTTTGTCTCCGGCGGCGCACGCTGCGTATGAAAACCAACCGAGCCACGGATATTACGTTTGAAAAGTTCTCCGCTGTTTCGTTTCCAATTCCGCGCTGTTTCCTGACATAATAAAACGCGGAATTATATAAGCAGAACTGTCTGACGGACTCGATCGAGCATCTTCAACGATGCTTCTCAAAGCACGCGTCTCCTCCACGTTTCGTTTCAATTCCATGTCGAAGCTCGACGAGCAAATAACAACACGCCAGCATCGTTTGTTCCACATATGGTCATTGTTATTCTGGTTCATTTAGCGAGAAATGAATGCGATCCGTTATTACCCTGAAGATATTCATCGGTCCATAGTCTTCCGATGATCAAAAAGCTCGATTTTTCTTTAAATTCGGTGCTAAATTTTATAGGCGATATTTCTGTTTATGCGGTAAATTTTACAAGCGACATTTCTGTGCTAAAATTTGATGTGCTAAATTTGTCCAACGTTTTCTACGATCGGAAAACGTTTGTAATACATATTAGGAGGCGCAAAATTCGCAGAAGCGTCGTAATTGTTCGGTAATTTCGTCGACGACAACAATTTGATCAAATACAAAATGGAAAATGAATACGAAATCGACTAGAAAGCAAATTCGCAAAGGGATCGAGAAATGGTTCGATGACTTCGTTTCAGCGATCTCGAACTCGACGAGTCGCGTCGCGTCGTCAAGACGGAATTGTATATCCGACGAGTGTTCTTCTTCGGCCTATTTCGACCCAATTGGAAGAAATAAGCGACAAAGCGAGCGCATTGTGACGAAACCGGTGGCATCGTGAGAAGCAATCAAGGGCCCACGCGAAGGCGTGTTTAACCGTTTTAGCGGACGGTGTCTTAATGAACAGGTTCTATTCCAATACCCGCGTAATTTTACTCGACGCTGAAAAATTTATGGTTACGAGTCATGCGACCAAAGTCTGCTCAACATCCGTGCAAGTAACGAACCTTGTGCAATTCTTAAATGCATAATTCTTTATAAAATAATGAAGTAATTCTGTCTAAAATAATGAAAAATTCTTCGTAATATAATAAAATACTTCTTTCTAAAATAGTAAAATACTTCTTTATGTAAAATAATAGACTACTTCTTCGAAAGACTCTTTCAACAAATTTTATTCTGCGAATAACGTACTGAGGGGATTGTGTATTCTAAATGTCCCGTATACGGAAAGATGACTCTCACTGACAACCAACCTCGTATTCCTCAATTATAACAATATGGACTTACATACGAACTTATAACTTCACCAACACTCGACATGGTCGCACTGTTCCGACCGAACTGTTCGAACTGACCTGCGGCATCCGATTTTTGCCGCTTATATTCCTCCGGCGGAAACATAGTCTGTCTCCTTTTCCTTTGTCACCAAGGTGACGATTTCTCTTAAGGGTCAATAAAATCATTTTCGACTTGCAACGGCCAGGGAAAGTTTATTACTTAGTCCTTGGCCTCTGCAAGCGAATCCTTTAACTGTTATTATTGTCGCCGGCCGTGTACCGCTATAAAATTGAAAGTTTTTCTAGGCGTGCGCGTAGTTGCAGCCATTGTGCTGCTACAGTACCATTAGCAGACTAAATTGTTCAAAAGTTTCGAAAAGAACTATCTCGTAGCTCTTTAACAACAAAAATCACGATCAACGTCTTTCTATCAGAGTTTTAAATCAGTTCGCAACCGGCCTACTAAATTTTTTCTGGTTCGTTTCCGCGGTACACACACGGTACATCGTCTCGACGGCCCATAAAACTGCCGTTTGAAGGAAGCAAATAATGAAAACCAGGTCACCCGTGTGCATTTGCGAATCGCAGAAGTAACCAGATTAAATCTTTCGCTGGTACGCGAAGATTTGACGCTGAAACGCCGGCCGGAAAACAGAGCATGCTAATCAGTCGTGCGAGAAAGACGAGAGCAACCTTCCGGTCGGTGTCTAAGAGAGAAGAGAGACAAGGAGAGAGAGAGAGAGAGAGAGAGAGAGAGAGAGAGAGAGGTGTGCCGAAATGCGACTCATTATCGGATGCAGGTATCGGCCGGATCGATTGTCAATCGCCTTTTGAAGAGACGCACGCGCGAAATGCGAGTCGAAGAAGCGACGTCCAGACGAAGTCGCCGTTTCCAACGAAAACTCCCGAACGAAAAACTCTGAAAAGATGCCAGATTTTTTCGAGCCTCTCGGCTCGTTTTTACAGTCGCCGATTGCCAATAACTATAAAAACGAGACGCAAGGCTCGAACAATCGCGTCTCCTCTTCCCAAATTGTCAATCCTTGTGCGCGATCCGAGCGCGAATTAGGGAGAAATTACAGTAACGCAGCAAAGAGAATCCGAGCGAAGCGAAACGAGAACTGCTCGCGGGAACGCGATGGCAATGGCAATCGTTAACAATAACATACGGGTAATTAACGGGTTATTAATTTCAGTTTCGTTCGAGTGGCCCCCTCTTTGCAATCGACGCTCGCCGGTTCGCGGATCGATCGTAAATGGCATTTGAAAAAAGGCGCACGTGCGAAGTGCGCGGCTCGAGGGAGACTAATTCATCCGCGACACGGGAAGGAGGAACTCGTCGAGAATATTTCTCAAGAGGGAACACCGGTGCTGCCTGTAGGAGCAGAGCGTTGCGTCCAACGAATCGAATTAGGGAGAGGGCGCAGGGAAATTGAAGAAATCAAGGGCGCGGAGGAGGCCCGCATTTCTTTTTCTATTTGTTTTTTCCTCGAAATCGCATCGTAGCAGCGGACTTCCTCGTGCTCTATTATGCGACCCGGGGACAAAGGCAATCCTGAGGAAGAAAAGAAAGAATGGGACTCGAGACTTGGAGACAACCTGAAACACAATGCCGAGCACCGCAAAGGCAAACGAGCCGCGGAGATTTTCCAAAGGAAAATTTGTCGTCTTGCGACACGTAGCCGTGTTGGAGCTAATTTCGAGGACCGACCGAGATTCTATGAATTGAATTCGGAGTGGCAAAGAATACTGAGAGGAACCAGCGTCCGGGGGATGATGACGTTGACGTTGATTGTTTCTGAAACTGGACAACGCGCGAAACAGGACCATTTCATTGTATCCAACAGATTCGGAAATCAAATTAAACTTAAATTAAACTTGCAAATTCTGGAGTTTCGTTGAGAATTTGCCTGATGCAGCGTTGCACAGAGAATGCTGCATAGAATGGAGAAAACCTTGAAACGATGACTCGTTCATTATTAATCAGCTTCCGACAAGTGCAAATACAGTAAATTCTCAGCTTGGAAATAAAAACGGAGAATTCGGAAAGGGGAGAGATACGATTATTCCAGCCTCGCGGCTCCTTTTTATAGTTCGACTAATTGTCAACGATTATAATAATCGTATCTCCTCTTCTCAAATTTTCCATTTCTCTGCACAATCCGAGCGTCAATTAGGGAGGATTTACTTGTGACAAAAATCAGTAGGTACGTGGAAAAGTATTTAAAAACATTGAGGCCAGAGTTGGACAAGGTGTTCTCTCTCGCACAAAATCTACTACCTTTACATATCATTCCGCGCATCAAATACACAAATATTTCCCAATTATTAGTTGCACCCCATCCCCCAATCGCTGTCACAAAAGCGTAATACAAGAACTGCGACGCGAACGTTTGTCCTCGAAATAATCTTAACAAGATGAAAGTGGCGCAGAAGAATATTTCCGAATTGTTTAAACGTTCCTGCGATTCCGCGTTCGAATCCGCGACCACGAAAGCGTAAAACACGCATTGTCTCTAAGCTCGCACGGCCGAATCTCGAAGCTGAACGAACTTTCCAGCAAACAAACTTCGCAACGAATGCTGCGCAACGAAGCTGTTGCTTCCAACTTCACCGGCAATCCGCGGCATTCCGAAACAACAACAGTAACAACAACAGCTAATCGAACTCTGAACAACCGAAGAATCGCTCCTTCGACCTCGACGTCGACGGAGCCCCAAAATCCAAGCTGAAAACGAAGCGACAAGACACACGGGAGTGTGCAGGAGTCTACAACAAATAAGCCACGATTCATCCTGACCAAAAATAAAAAAGCTAGCACACAGAAACCAGCCTCGAGATAGCACGAAGATCGAACGCGTGGACACGAAGAGCTGGCACAACGAGCGACAGCGTGACGGGCCCGGCAAAGGAGACTTTTCTGCGTAGCATCGAGCCGGCATGGTCTCACCCTGTAGTAGGGTGTGCTCCGGACTCTATTTTCATCGATGATCGATCAGAGCGCCGACCGAGGAAAACAAGAGCACCGGAGCGGTCTCCGGGGCTAGGAGGAAGAGAGAATCACCTTTCTGGAAGGGCACCGATAGCTGCAGCACCTGCAGACCTTGGAGGACTTGCAGGACTTGTAGGAGGACGCATCCGCGTGTCTCGTGGCCGCGGCCGGTTCGCAGCAGGCGAAACTCCGAAACTCCTCGGACCTGTCCTCGCCGCTGATCTTCCTCTCCTTCTCGAGGACGTCGGTGAGTACCCTGCTCTCCATGATCAGCCTGAGTCGGTTCTTCTCGGTCTTGACGGTCTTCGGGTTCTGCTGCACCGCCCTCGGCAGCGGGATCATCGAGCTGCCACGAGGATTCCTCTCCGAGTCGCTGGCCTTCGACGGAGAGCCGTCCTGATGATGATGCTGCCTGCCACCGGAAGCGGTCTGCAGCGGCTGCTTCTCTCTGTTCTCGCTTGGCATCTCTCGCTCTCTCTCTCTTTCTCTCTCCGCGCGGCTCCCGATCGATGCCTCCGAGACGGGACACCCACCGTTCCTGCTTTGTTTCGCCGAATAATTGATACACGCGACACGATCCTAGATCGACGCGACGCGACGCCCGGTGTCCTGGCACGAGCCACGTCGGCGCACCATCAGACACAGCCACTCTTCTCCGGGTTTCGACCCTTCCTCATCCACCGAGGGGCAGCTTCATCGCGCTCCATCAGGCGTCGAGTGCGGCCCCACGCATGCGTCGAACCAAAGATTTTCAAAATGTCCCTCTGGCATTTCTCGACCCCACTACTGCCACTCCTCCGAGGCTTTTACCCGAGCCGGTGGTCCTTCTTCTTCTTCTTCTTTACCGTCGTCTTCTGCTGCTTCTTCTTCTTCTGCTACTTTTTCTTCTTCTTCAGGACTCTCTCTCGCGGATAAGAGAACCCCAGACTCCTCCGAGAGTTCGCCGACTGTCGGGTCCAGCGTATTGTCTTGACTTTCCGACGGCTTTTTAATCTCACGCGACTTTCACTCGCGTTCTCGGCCGCGGCATCTTCCGGGGATCTCGATTTTGGCAATTCGATCGCTAAGAGGACATTTCGGTTGACACGTTAACGAGTTCCCGAACGGTAGAGGTTTTAACGAGCTGTAAAAGTGGACGGGCGATTCGTTGGAAAAATCGTGATATCAAAGTGCACGATGATTAAAAAAAAAAATAAGCGCCACGTGCTGTAAGTTGTCTCCAATTGACGCTGAGATTGCGCACAGAAATGGACAATTTGTGGAGAGGAGACGCGATTATTCGATCATTCGTTGAAGCAACAGTGGTCAAACATACTAAAAAAAACTAAACTGCTATTGTTCCGACGTAATAGATATCGTTCGATTAAATCACAATGTGATTACATATAACGCTTCGAATGATAAGAAAATGATAGAAAGTAATAGGTGAACCAGATTTTATTCATTTGCTAAACGATGACTTTAATGCGGTTTTTACCGTATCGGATGTGTGATCGACGCATCGTTTAATTCACGATTCAAAGAGATTCAGAACGTCGAACTTGCAATTTGTTCGAACGATTAATGAACGAATGAAGGAAGACGGTATCCGGAGTTTCGCAATTAACGCGGACATTTTTATTCGACGTATAGACGGTCTGTTCATTAATATCCGATCGAATTGTGTCTGATTTTTCGCACTCGAAAGGGAGGCGTCGGACTCGAAAACCATAAAGCGCTGCAACGAGAGTGCAACGACCAGAAACTACTCGTTCTGCTGCTTTTCTGTCTCGCGAGATTTCTTTCGCGCTTTGCAGATTATACTTTTCCATATACGATGATGAAATACGTCGGGGCAAATGGTGATCGATAACTTATGAATCTTCTTCACGCTCGTGGCAATCGGATAATTAAATTTTCAATTTCACGCGATTTTATTCGCGAAAGTTTTACGTAGACGATTACTTTAAATTATTATTATTATACACAAAGGAAAAATATTAAATTTCTTGTATCAAATGTGTTGCCATTTAAGCGTTAATAATAGTAATAATAATAATAATAATAATAATATTGATAATAATTATAATTCGTAATCCCAACGATCGTAAAGCAAGGGTGATTCCGAGCACGCTGAAAGTTCTATTTTCGTGGAGAGAAGCCGAGCGTTTAAATCATCGACCGACGATGCTGCAGGAAAGATTGATTCGTCGAACAATCGTCGCACGTCGTTAATTGCCGTTTCGTGGTCGGAATCGCGATCCCGTCTTGTCTCTCGAATCTCTCGTGGATCGAATGAAATTTTCCTTGCGACACAGACGTCAATGTCTCGGCGTTCGCGAGTTCCATTTATAGGCTGTACGGTCCGTTGCTCGTTCGCGGCCCACGTTTTTCCATTCGTTTCGCAAATCGACCGGACGCACCTTTTGCGGCGCGCGATAAGGAAGGAAAAATCTTTCCTCTTTCCGCGACCCGGACCACCCTCTTCGCGACATTCGTGTTCAACGTCTCCGAAATCCGTATCTCCTCTCCCACAGGAAAGTTCGATCGAGCCGATTCCGATTTTACCGCAGCATTCGAACACGTTGTTGATCGACCTTTCCTCGATATCTTTCTCTCTCTCTCTCTCCTTGCTCGCTATATCGACACGCGCATTCGCGTTCGACTATCGAAATCTTGCGTCATCTAGCCAAGGTGCGCGCGTTCTTCTATCCACCATAGAGCTATCGTGCCATTAGACAATGCTATTCTTACGAAACTTCTATTCTCAAACTTGTTTACCCTCGAATTTCCATTCCCCTGTTTATTTCTACCGAAACTTCCGATTCTATTTGTTCTCGCGTAGAATAGCTTCGCTGTATCTCGACCTTGCACGTCCGACTTCTGTAAACCTCTAACGATTGCGATTTTTAACTTGTCTGCTGCGATCGAACACGTTCGTCCACTTGATTATCATCGATTATCGTCGATTATCGTCGATTCTCACCGGATGCTTTTTTCAACACTAGAACCACCAAAAGCAGTTAAAACGACTGATGTTTTTCTTTCACAGTTTCTGAACATTACAAAAACATTTCTAGACGAAATTCTCACGTACGCTTCTTTATCAAAGTCTATTTATTATAATATAAATCACGCGGCTCACTGTTATGGTTACCGATCCTCAACAATTATAAAAACAAGGCGCAAGATTCGAACAATCGTATCTCCTCTCCCCAAATTATCAATCTTTGTTTACAAGCCGAATCATCATTAATCCGATGCTTCCCCCGCGAGTGCATTCAAGCTTCTCTAGAAAACAGAAAAAATGCTCCATGATATCCAAGCTCAATCATCATTAATCCGATGCTTCTCTCGCGAGTGCATTCAAGCTTCTCTAAAAAGAAAAAAAGAAGAAATGCTCCATCGAGATCCTCCGTGATATCCAACAAAGAAAGAAAGCACCCCCCAAGAAAGCTCGCAAAATCTCTGAGAACTCACAGGCGACCCCACAACAGCTCCCGAGCTTGCTCCACGACACAAAGATCCGGCACAACCCCTAGATCCGATCGCGGCCGGTGCCCCCGCGGATCATTAAACCGTCCTCTCGTTCCGCGAGATCCGCGGAACACTCTCGCGGCACAAAGGTCACGTTCGATTCGTTATATCCTCGGTCGGCTGGCCGCACGAGTGAGCAAAGGGTGAGACATCAAAGTCCCCCGAGCATCGCTGACAATTCGTAGCCGAGAGCCGAGGACCGACAACGCAGTCGGTCGACTCTTGCCTGGGTCCGGGCCCCCGAAACTTGGCGCTCCGCACAATCGGCTCACTGTTTCGCTCTTCACGATTTTCTTTTTCTTCTTCTAGCCGGTTTAGGCTACCGGCGCCGCGGAGGGCGAGACCGAGAAGAACGCGAGAACCGCGGGTGATTATGTAGAAGCTGACAGAGACTGCTGGCTGATAACGAACGCGGCGAGACGAGAGGAGACGCGACACGCTAGGCTCCTCGTAGTGTTGGTAGCTGAAATAAACTGGCGTAGGTTAGGGGATCGAGGAACAGCTGGGCTCGGCCTGGCTGCTGTACGCCATCACTGACTCACTCAATGCCTGCTCTCCTCTCTCTCAGACTTGCTGTTTTATGCTCTCTCTCTCTCCTCTCCCTCTCTTTTATCGTCTCTCTCTCTCTCTCTCTTCATGGTCCCACCACGACGCTCGATCCACCATCGCCTTTCCTCCTCAGGAACCGAACTCCTTCTCTCTCGCGCTATTAGTCGCTGCCTTGCCCCACTCCACCCTCGATATCGTGATTCCTACTGGTTCTCTTATTCTCTCTTTCTGTCTCTCTTTTTTTCTCTCTTCCTTTCTTTCTCTTGCCGTTGCTTGCTCGGTAGCTACGTTATTCCCTCTTCGTCTAGTTCACCGTCCTTCTTCGTCGCGACGTGGAAAGTCTCTGATGTGTGTTCGATCTGCCCCTTTCGCTGGGCCAGCCGGCGCCGCGCAGTGTACGAAAACACGAAAACCGGCCGAGTATTAGAAGCACCATCGACTGTATAAAACGTAGATAATGGCAGAAAAGTTATATAAATGCTAAGTCATTATTCGTGATTTATTGGGTTCGGAAACATTGATATTTTCTAACGAAACTTTTAGGGGATGATACGATCTAAAATGGATGCTGTAAAGTGATTGTAAAAATATTTTCAAGAAAATTGAGAAACACTACTCTAAGAGAAATAGGCTTTTCTTTTGAATCTGCAATCCTTTTTGTGCATCGCCAATTTTTTCTTTTCATTCCAAGTAACTTCCAAGTCGTTTGTGGTTCAGGTTTGAAAAAGTTACTGCGGTTTGAAAGGTGCACGAACAATTTTTTGCTAGGGAAAAATTTCCCGACGCTTTAAACCAGTCTCTTAAAGCGACAGGATCATTGTTCGCCGACCAAAGGTCGGCTTAAAAAAGCAAACAACGATTCTGTACGCGAGACACCGATCGCGGAATGTCAACGGGTAAATCCCTCGACGAGCGAAACACCTCGAGGAAGCCGCAGATTACTTCTCTGGAAAAAAGAAATATTCGAAGAACACACTGGCACACCGACGTTGAAAAGAAATAACAATCGAACCGTGTACAAATAGCCAACGGATCGGGAGAGTCTCTGCGAACGGGAAAAATTGAAACCGAAGAATTTCGCGGCGAGGAACGATTTCGTGCAACGAGAAAGACAAACAAAACGCGCGGGCAACGTTGAACGTTAAAGTTCGCATCGAAAAATAAATTGCTCGATTATGTGCACGGATGAATCGGTAACAAACAAATTACCTCGACGGAACAACGCGACGAGCACGTATCGCGTTTAAAAGTCCGTGGCGGTGCGACAAAGGAAGCGAATTCATCGGCCTGGAAAAAAATGAAACGTTCGTCGAAACACCGCCGAAAGTAATTAAAACAGGGATTAACGTGCCGGAGGGAAATGTTCCGAGCGTTTGCCTGTAATTCGGAGCAATTTCTGCATTTTCGTTCGACGATGTTTCATTGAAAAGTGAACGCCCGAACGATCGTACTCTCCTATTCCCGAATTGTCCAATTTTGTGTACGGAGCATCGATTAGGGAGAATTTGCTGTACCTAGCAGGGAAAAAAGGCTCGATCCGCCGATGCGAATACTGGAATAGTTATTCGAGTGGGATTTCCTTTTGCAAGTGGTTATAAATAGTGCTAAAACATAGCATCACCGGTACGTCGGACGTCGCTGCAAGTGCCAATTCAATTCAATTGTTTTAACAGCGTTTGCAAATTTAAATGAGTGGCGCATCAAATTTTCTCTGTCTCGGACAGATGGCGTGTATACACAGTGTTTCCTACAAATAGTATCCCCTCCGTTAACGAATTTCTACTGTACTAATTACAAAAAGCACAAAATCTCGTCGCACATTCGCGTTCGTTATGTTCTTAATCACTGCGGACCTATATGCAAATTTCCTTCCTCGTGCGACATTAAAAAAAAAATCATATTAGAGAAAAGAACTCAATTAAAGCTGCTTCACCGCGAGAAGAAATAGAAAATGCTTTTGGACCCCGTCGATTTATACATTTCATATTTTATTCACCGACAGACGAGAATTTTTTACAAAATTGTACTAATTCGATTACATTGTAATTCAATTTCGCAATTTAATTGCACGGTATTTCAGTTACATGTTAATTATCTTAATTGCGAGTGTAATTGAAATACACACACACACAATGCAATTGGAATACAATGTAATTGAAATGCAATGCAATTGAAGCACAATGCAATACAATGCAATTGATGTACAATTAAATTGAAATGCGATGCAATTGAAGTACAATGTAATTGAAACAATTATAATACCGCAGAACTCTGTTTAGAAGAGACAGTAATCTAGCCATAATTCAACAAATTCTTTGCATTGATATAATGCAACAAGTTCCTTTGAAATACGAATACAGCGTTAATAAAATCTCGATACTCGTTGATAAGACAAAGTAGCGAATTTCATAATTGGCGTACACCGGGATTGATCGTTATTCGCAACCCCGATATCGCGTTATGTGTATTCTCTTTCCATTGAACACGGAAATAATGAAATCTCTCCGCGCGGCGTTTTTGTTTCACTTTTCGCTCGGCGTTGCGATTTCATGGTTTCCGACTGCACCGTAACGTATTATTGATTTACCTTGATCTTTCGTGCGGAATTACTCTTACGTCATCCGGCATTACGCTCTCTTTTCTGCCCCCTTCGCATGAAACCGCGCGCGCCTCGCCTCCCCGTTATCCGCCCCGAATTGTCCCCTCTGTGTACGCCAC